TGGTATGTTTGAGGTTGTTCTCTTGCTTCAAGACCCGTCTTCTGTTGAGCTTCAGTTTACAGACAGATGCTGTGATATTCTATTGTAGAATTTTCTGATGTAATTCAGAATTCATAGTACCATTAAACAATGACAAGCTATCCTGGTCCAAAACCGGCAGAACAGCTCCAAACCATCATACTGCCACCACCATGTTTTACATTTGGGATGAGGTTCAGGTTGGACTGAAGTGTTTCGTTTTACCCCAACATAATATTCTCATTTAAGCCATGAAGTTCTGTTCTTGTCTAATCCTTCAGAATAACATTGTTTGAGTAGCTTTCTGGTTCATCCAGTTGGTCCGTAGGAAACTTCAAACAGGCAGCAGTGTTCTTCTTGGAGAGTAGTGGCTTCCTCCCTGCTATCATTCCATACACAATTTTCTTGTTCAGTATTTGCCTGAGGGTGAACTCATCAACATTGACACTAGCCAGTGTAAGAGAGGCCTTCAGATCCTTAGATGTTATCCTGGGTTTCTGTGTGATCTCCCAGATAATTATATGCCTTGCTCTGCTTTTTGTTCAAAAACCGCTCCTCTGGAGAGGAACAGTGGTGATGGATTTTCTTCACTTGTGCACTGACAAACATCAACGAATGTTGTTTCCGAGGTCCTCAGAAATCTTCTTTGACTGAGACAAGAAGTGCATTCACAAATATATGTGGTGAAAACCAAAGGTTCAATCACGCAATTGATTGAACTTTTTGACATTTGGCATTTAATGTTGGATCTCTTTGTTCAGAAAATAAAAGAAAGACAGTATAACTGTTTGTGTAGTTTTACTGAATATTCATCAGCAATTTAATTGAACCCTGCTACATAATGTTGACATAACCATATCATAAACATATCATAGCATAAGTCATGTGCTGCCATGCCAGATTTTGTTAAATTAATATAACAATATAACAATGTTTTGTTACCATTACAGGTAATTGTCATAACAGATACCATAACATTTAATGTCATAACAGCTTATATCACATGCTAATTTATGCCGTGCACCTTAAATATTATATTAGTCACATGACACTGTTATACTACTGGACATAATCCGTCATGACAGCTCATGACCACATATGACGTCTGCTATGACATTTATGGCATGGTTATGTCAACGTAGTTGCAACGTTCAAGGAAAGTCTTACCAGGTTCTTTTTATCTATTCTTATGATCTCCTACTTATGCAGAAATTGACAGAATGCTGAAAGGTTCACAAAATGTATAGTATGACTGTAGTGCTTTATCAAATGGCAAAAATTAAGAAATTAAATACAGAATTTGCCTGGGAATTAGACCTAGCGTTAGCGTATGAATTCATTGACTATAAGAATTTCTAATTACACAGCTGGATTTTCACATGGAATGTGGAACTGACAACATCTGCATCGACAACCTTAAAGTGGATTTCAACTTTTCTGGGTAAGGTCATTATTGATAATCTGCACACGTGACTTTTCTAGTGTTATTTTATTGTTAAGTATGCTATTGTTCTGTACACACACCGTATTAATGCTGTTGATTCGAAGTATTTCATTGACTCAGCAGATTTTGTTAGATCTTTGAGTCACTAATAGCGATTCCATTTAAAAAAATACTGCTTTACTTTATTCATATTTGTTTCAGATACATAGAAGCTGGAATAATGCAGGATATGAACATGACAGTCTTTGTGGAGAACAGAGGAGAAAACTCTTATGGCAGTCATGTCAAGGTCACGTATCCCTTTGGGCTTTCCTTCAGGAAAGTCACCAGCAAACAGGTAAGACCAGTGCTGTGAACTTTAAGGTCCAATGTCCAGAAAGGAAGGAAACACAACAATGTAGTTTAACAATGTGGTTTTTAACAGAGGAAAGAAATCTCTTGCCGGCCCGAGATCATGCGGGTGCCACGAGTGAGTGGAGAGCAAGTTCTCCTCGGTTCAGTCTTGGTTTGTCTCAAAGTTGACTGATACTGACTGATACAAACTCATATGAGTTTAAGAGTCAGCTCCAAGACAAAGGGTCACTATCAAGCTTTCCTGTAGTCCCAACTTTAGACTTTTCAACCAGGTACAGACCACCTCACATACACCACCACCTAATTCAGGCCACCTCACATACACCATCACCAATATTTGGATGTTGACATAGTTGTTGGTACACAGCGTACTGGAGTTGGAATGAAATAATGAGTATGAGCTTAATGTGCAGACTTTATAAATGACAAACTGAGAATCATTAATTAATTTGTCATTTTAGTACTTGGTTGGAAATCATTTGCATTCAATGACTGCTTGGACCCACAGACATCACCAGACACCGAGCTTCCAGGTCCTGAATTCCTAACCAATGGGAAAGCCAACTTAGCTGCAGCTACCTAGTTAACACATAAAATAAATTAATTGTGCATTTTAAAATTTTAACCCTTTTGTTTCCAATTTAAACTTAATAATGAAATGGAGGACAATGAATTTTTACTGTACAACAAGCAACAAGAAATACAACAAGCAGATTATATTACATAGATTCATCAAATAAAAAGGAACAAGAGATTACAGACATGTACTTTTTAGTTAACAGAAATCATTCGGGCTCCTCTGAAGGCCATGAGGGTTCTTCACTGACCTGTGCACTACTAGACTGGGCTATTTCTCTACATGAGCAGATCACAGAGATGTTTACTGTATGATTTTTTTTCTTTATGATACATTATCAGGGCAGAGTGGGGTGCGTATCTGTGGACAGTGATCAAAAAATGACATTGGGGATAACGACCTGCTACATTAATAAACCCATCTTCAGGGCGAATTCGTCGGTGAGTCACAACATCATTATTTATTTGGACAGACTCATCAACGGTTGCGCACTTAGCAAATTATGTATTAAAATTCAGTTGACGAATGTAGATAAGGCATCATTAGATGTTTGATTACTTCAATTTGAGATTGACTTACTTACAAAGAATGTTATCTCTGCACGTGGCTTCATGGATACGCATGGTAATCTCGTTTCTGTGCTCCTGTTTTAGGCTGTCTTTGAGATCACATATAGCACAAACAACGAAAGTAACTTTGACAGGATGGTAAGCTTCACTGCTACTGCTCGCAGGTATGACCTGATGTTATACTGATACACATATTATATTATCTGCATTACCTTATGAAATAAAAAAAAATCTAATTCTGGGCTACTTGTAATGGACCAGTGCCTAAGCGCTGTTGTCTAAGCACTTAGGTCGGCCCTGTTATCTAACACTTCTCATCAGGAGATTGCAAGCTTGATCCCCAGTGAGGTGAAAGAACACCTCTGGCCACTGGGTGGGTAGGATGGCCTGCCAGCAGCCAAAAAGATGTGGTGGCACTTCATATGACTTCAGAGGAATTTTGTGTTTGCCTTCGCCCTCCTAGCGCTGGTGGTGTTGTGTGATTAGGGGAGTCCTTACTAGTGAATGGAATTGGATACGACTAAATTGGGGTGAAAATTGGCCATGAGAGAGAGGATGGGATAAAGAGGGAAAGAGGGGGAGACAGAAAAAGAATGACGCCTCAACTTACAGGGGAGGTTTAACCAAAACTAAATTCAGTCCACTTCTAGTTTTGTACTGGAATCATCCGGTTTCCATGTAAATACATTATATGGTCAAAAGTATGTGGACACCGGATCATCACACATATATGGGCTTTCCCATTTCAAAACCATGGGCATTAATATTTGCGAGATCAGGTACTGATGTTGGATAAGATGGCCTGGCTCTCAATCAGCATTCAAATTCTAGTTCAATGGGGTTCAGGTTTGGGTTCTGTGCAGACCACTAGAGTTTCTCCACACCAGACTCGTCAAACCATGTCTTTATGGAGCTCACTTTGTGCACAGGGGCTCAGTCATGCTGGAAGGGTCTTCCCCAACTGCTGCCACAAAGCTGGAAGCATATAATTTTGCAAAACCTCTATGTGTGCTGTAGCATTAACAGGACTAGTTACGTCCACTTTGTAATGAAACAGTCAGTAAGTCAGTGTTCTGTGAGTACTGACAATATCCACAATATACTCTGAAAAGCATAGTATCACGATGACAATAAAATACGGTCATGTCCACCTCTAGGGTGAAGGCTAGCACATGCTTCCCCCGGAACAAGTGATCTTTTCAGACCGCAGCTATTGCAGCATTGGAGCACAACGCAACAGCTAATTCTGTTGTCAGCCAGTAGACATCTATGGCTAGCATCATGCTGAGTGATGGAGGAAGGGGGAGGATCATCCTCGATGACAGGGAGATGCTCCAATTAAATTTTTATTGAAGTCCCAACATATAGATGCAGTTTAACATGGGAACACAATGTATTTAAGCCTTTTCACATTTACCTACGTCTATTTACTGACTTACGTTTCCCAAACCTTACAGTGGCAATGATGAACACACAGCTGACAGCGAACTGTCCATAAATAAAACCGTCGGTGAGAAGTACGCCATCTACGTCACTCTAATAAGGTCAGTTCTCCCTGTTTACCCTCCTGTGTTCTTACTGCTGTTAGTTTTCTACTAACTCAGTCATCACCAGCTCCCAGTACAGTAGAGCTGTTTAGCCCCGTGTGACTGAGCTGTGGTGTCTCTGTCTGGTTGAAAGTCTCTCTGTAGCACCATTCAGTCCTCTCGATATCAGCTCAGTGACTGTTAATAACCTCCTTTTACTGATTTTGTAAAGGTACGGGAATTCCAGAATCCGCTTTAACATCACTGCAATGAAGAACAACCTTGAGAAACCTGTCAATCAAATATTCAAGGTATGAGGAACAAAGAACTGTGGAAGCCCATTCTCACCATGTGGAGGATTTTTGTATGTCAAAATATTCACTTTGTATATAGAAACAATGACTTTTTTTTTCTTAAAATATTTACTTAGTTTCTAATTATGACTAATTTATTTTCTCGAATTATGCAGTCAGTATCTCAAAATAATGACTTGTTGTTCTGAAATATTGACTTTATATCTCAAAATATGATTTAAAATTTTGACTTTATTTTGACTGTATTTTGAAATAATTATTTTCTTGAAATATTCATGTAATTCTAGATAAGTTAATTTCTAAATATTTTGAGATACTATTATAGTTCGATAAATTAATTTAAGAAAATAACTATTACTATTTTGGGATAATAATAAAATGTCTTTACTGTAAGATGCTTAATAATTATTTTGACGTAGTAAGTCAATATTTAAAGAACCTAAGTCATTATTTTGAGTCAAGTCAATATTTTGAGAAAATAAATCATTATTTTATGATATTTTATATGAAACTGCCACTGGGGTGGTACGCTTAAGGCTACATCTTCAGTACCTTTAGTTAGGGAATGTAATTGTACCACGTTCTATTACAATATTATTTTATTGTTCTGCTTTAAAAAATGAGTTTGTGAAAAGGTACAAATACATACTGACCCCATTTTGGGGGCAAACCCCATTTTACAAAAAGTTGGGACATTTTGTAGAATGCCATAAAAACAAGAATGTGTGATTTGTTAATTCTCTTGAAACTTTATTTAACTAATAAAAGTAAAAAATAAAAAGTCTGGAGATGAGATGGGGTGTGTGGAGTCGATAAAACTTAGAGAAAATAATTCCATTATCATTTTTGCACAGTTATGTTCCCTGACTAAAGGTACTGAGAGGGGAACTGCCCCAGTGACAGTTTCTTACCTTTATTTCTGAGAGTGCACAGTACTTTGTCTGATAGTTTAAGTCACTGCTTTGTGATTTTACTGCTGGAAACAGAATAAAATCAGTTTTTTCTCCTCTACCTGACAGAAATGGATTTTCATTAAAATGCTTTGGTATCAAAAAACAATGTATTTTTCAAATAAAAGAACAGTAGGGATATTCTGTTTTTGTTCTCTATCGCTCTGTCAGGTGGAGAATGACCTGAGGGATGTAAACCTCACGATTCTCATCAGAGTACCAATAAAACTCGGAGAGAAGGACATCTGGGCCAATAAGAACTTGCAGGTACAGTAGCATTATTAACAAAGACACACGGGGCAGATTAACTGATATGTGGTGGTCTTAACTAGATCTCTGTCTTATAACTTACATTACTTAGTGTTTTAAAGGGAACAAATGTCTGTCTCTTTAATTTAAAGCCCCTCGTCTCAATACTTTGTCATTTACTTCATAAGACAACTTATATCGGCTTGTGATTTCTGGAACAAGCTGTTCATATATATTAGAGTTTGCTTTATAATATGTTATTCAGTACATTTACTTGTGTTTACAGTCTCATTGTAGGCAGCCTTCAGGTAAAGTGTTACCCTTTAGTTTAAGGGCTCTTCTGTCAGTACAGTGTAACGTTCTGGGTCTACACCCCCCACCAAACAGTGTCCTTTACCTTATAAAAGTGAAATACTGACAGACGCTGTTCATAAACTGCTCTATGCCCTGTGCTGTGTTTTTAGATTCCAGACTGTAGCATAGACAGAGACGAGAAACCCACAATCCCTGATTTTGTGGAGGCACTAAAGAAACATCAGTCGGTGGTGAGTAACTGTTACACCTTTAGGCATCAGTATTCTTACCAGTCAGTTGTGTAATAAAAGCTTTGCAAATTCAATATTATAAACAGTTCCTTTATTGTGTGTGGAGTAATGTAACCAGTGGAAACTCTCTCTGTTGGGTGCAGAACTGCTCTGTGGCTGTGTGCAGACTGTTCAGGTGTAGTGCAAATCTCAAGAGACATGACCTGAAATTCTACAATATCTCTGCTAATGTCAGCTCTGGCTGGATTGAACAGGTACATTTATTTGAATGCATTACATATCTATCTATCTATCTATCTATCTGTCTGTCTGTCTCTCTGTCTATGTCTATATCTACATATCTGTTGCTAGATCTATCTATCTGTATAGTTATTTTCACTTATAAAATCAACAAAACATAATTTGACAGGGAGTATTCAAACTTTGGCAAATGACTGTTTATAAAGGTTAACACATTCTTTACAGAGGACACACTTACATTTGACATTTATTCAGCAAATTTAGTGCACAATTTCTATTTATTATTCTATTACAGCTTTGACACAGGCCATATTTTATGTCTTATTGTTTTTTTTTCTTCAATATATTAAACTCAGCAAATAAGCAGTAATTGTGCATTAAAATGTGTTTTCTCTGTAGAGGACATGTGAACTTATTTTCAGTTAGAAAATCAACCGCACATGGAATTTGAACAACTTATGTATGCCATATGCATGAATAGATAATATATATTTATACATTTCTTGTATCCTCTCTTAGACTGGACTCCGATCGGCAGTTTTTGAGCTGGTCAGCACAGCATCTCTGGAATATGACAAAAATAAATACTACTATTTTGATTCTCTCGACACTGCACATTTTGAGAAGGTAAGTGAACAGGCATAACCTTGTATTTAACTTAGCCATTCTCATAGACTTATTTCTGGAAGATTATTTGAAAGTGTGCTATGTAACAACTTTAATGACGTGTTGAGGAAGGACGCCAGGGAGCTTTTATCATTTATACACAACGCAAAACCCACTCGGCTTTTCAGCCCACAGATAAATTAAGACAAGGCGATCGCTGGGACTTTTCAGTCCTTTTTTTCTTTCTTGCTCAGCGCAGCTCAGCTCAATTCAATTCAACTCCGCTCTCACGCCTTCACGGGTCTCTCTCGGGGCTCTGCCACCTACCAAAGGAAGAGATGACTATAAGTAGGCTGGCAGAAACAAGGCACAGGTGAACAACATCATTAAACCAGTTCAGAGTGGGAAGGGGGAAGAGGTAGTGAGTGATGTGTTCACAAGCCTAATGGCCTTTGAATAGAAACTGTTTGTCAGTCTTGTAGTCTTGTAGGACTTCACACTCCTGTAGCGTTTGCCTGAAGGTAGGAGTGTGAAGAGTCTGTGCTGGGGGTGTGTACTCTCCCTGATTATGTTGTGGGCCCTCCTGATGACCCTGGTGTGATAAATGTCCTGTAGTGAGGGGAAGGCTGCTCCTGAGATGGACTGTGCAGTTTTGATCACACGCTGGAGAGTCTTTCTGTCCTGAGCAGTGCAGTTTCCATACCAGACTGTGATGGAGCTGGTAAGAACACTCTCGATCATACTCCTGTAGAAGGTGCTGAGAATTTTGGCTGGCATGCCAAATTTCCTCAGCCTTCTCAGAAAGTACAGTTGCTGCTGGGACTTCCTGATGATGAGGTGTGTGTTGTGAGACCAGGTGAGATCCTCACTGATGTGAACGCCAAGGAATTTGAAGGTTTTCACCCGTCTCCACCTCTGTCTCACCTATGTGTGTGCGCAGCTCCCGCTTCCTCCTTGGATCAACAATCATTTCCTTAGTTTTGTCTGCATTCAACAAAAGATTGTTGTCATGACACCAGGCCACCAGCTCAGCCACCTCCTTCCTGTACGCTGTCTCTTCCCCACCAGTGATCAGTCCAATGACAGTAGTATCATCAGCAAACTTGATGATGCTGGTGTTGTTCTGGGAGGCCACGCAGTCGTACGTGAAGAGCGTGTACAGAAGGTGGCTCAGCACACAGCCCTGGGGGACCCGTGCTCACTGTTCTTGTGCTGGATGTGTGGCTGCCGACTCTGACTGACTGGGGTCTGTCTGTTAGAAAATTCAGCACCCAGTTGCAGTGGGCGGGTGTCAGTCCGAGGGTGAGGAGCTTTTCTGCGAGTTTGTGTGGGATGACCGTGTTAAATGCTGAGCTGTAGTCAATAAAGAGCATTCTGACATACATGTCCTTGCCCTCCAGGTGTGTGAGGGCTGTGTGAAGGGCAGTGTTGACTGCGTCGTCTGTGGATCTGTTCCGACGGTATGCAAACTGAAGAGGATCTATAGTGTTCGGAATGGTCTCCTGGATATGAGTCCCAAAGCACTTCATCACGATTGGGGTGAGTGCAACGGGGCGATCAAAACGCTTGTCTTTGGGAGGGGCATGATGGTGGTGGTCTTGAAGCAGGATGGCACAAAAGCTTGCCCGAGTGACAGATTGAATATGTCCACAGTTCTGATGAGCAAACCCTGAGTGCACGCCCAGGGATGTTGTCTGGGCCGGCTGCTCTCCGTGGGTTTAGTCTCTTCAAGTTCCTGCGCACATCTACTAATGTCACAGTGAGCGATGTGTTCTGTGTGCTCTCCTTGGCCGTAACGTCTCTCAGTCGGCCAGGGCTGAGGGCCTCAAAGCGAGCATAGAACTCATTCAACTCATCAGGTAGTGTAGAGTGACTTGTTGTGACCACCCTGCTCGCCTGTTGGTAGTTGGTGATGTGCTGCAGTCCTTGCCATATGCGGATCAACAGTACCATCCTCTCTCACAGCAGCAGTTCTGAACACATCCCAGTTTGTACTGTCAAAGCAGTCCTCAAGCACTAAATCAGTTTCTTCATTCCACAGTTTGATAGTTTTACTCACTGGAATTGCTTGCTTGAGGAGTTGTCTGTGTGCTGGGTAGATGAACACGGAGATGTGGTCGGACTCTCCGAAGTACAGTCAAGACGGCTCTGTAGGCCCCCCTCACGTTGCTGTAGACTTGGTCGAGTGTGTTGCTCTCCCTCGTCACAAAGCTCACGTGCTGATGATACTTGGGGAGGACAGTCCTCAGGTTGCAGTGGTTGAAGTCGCCGGCAACAATGAACACAGCGTCCGGGTGTGTGGTCTCTTGTTTACTAATGGCGTCATGCAGCAGCCCCAGCGCCGTGGCCGAGTTCGCGCGTGGTGGAATGTAAGCAGCCAGAATAAACACAGCGCTGAACTCTCTTGGCAGATAGAGGAGTCTGCACTTCACCATCAGCAGCTCTAAGTCAGCTGAACAGTGTTTTTCAACAGTCTTTACGTCTGAACACCACCTGTTGTTCACGTAGATGCAGACACCGCCGCCTTTGTTCTACCCCGACGCTGCCGTGTGGTCCCCGCGGTAGACAGAGTGCGTTTCTAACTGGATCACTGATTCTGGCATGCTGTCTGAGAGCCAGGTTTCCGTGAGAATAAGAGCACAGCACTCTCTGATCTCACGCTGTGTTGTTATTCTGGTTCTCAGCTCATCCAGCTTGTTTTCGAGGGAGCGAACATTAGCTAGCAACAGGCTAGGTAGTGATGGTCGCGTAGCCCTAGCCTTTAGCCTAGCATGTAGCCCACCACTCTTGCCCTGCTTCCGCTTTGGCTGCTCTGTTTGTCGGCTGCGCCGCTCACCCGAGGCCGGTACTGCTGGGCCTTGCTGGCTGGTGCTGGTGGAGTATGAGCGTAAAAGAAAGTTGAAGACAGAAAGGCTTAAGATAAGTTCTTGATGAACTTTACCGATATCCAGGAGTGCCTCTCTACTGTAACTAACTGTTCCGTAGGTATACTGCACATTTAAAATAAATACTAAAGTTAAAATAAATAATAAATAGCGTTGGTTGAAGGAGGAACACACAAAGACGTCTGCCACGGTGGGCGCCATCTTACTGATGAGCCCCCGGCCTGTGAATCACTTCAAATCTAAAGAGTTGGAGAGCTAGATTACCAACAAGTGATTCTGGAGTTGGAGTCCTTCATGCAGTGGAGCCACTGGAGAGGGGCGTGGTCGGAACAGAAGGGTGAAAGGGTACCCCAATAGGTAATGGCAGAGGGTGAGGACCGCCCATTTGATGGCGATTTTTTTTTCAATGGTGCTGTACTTAGTCACCCGAGGCGATAATTTTCGACTTATGTACAGCATGGGGCGATCCTCCCCGTGCAGCAGCGGGCCCCCACAGAGAGCCGCCTTAACACGGTTTATAGCCTGTTGGCACTGCTCCATCCACTGGACTGGATCTGGTCCTCCCTTTTTAGTGAGATCAGTCAGCAGGCTGGTGACGTCCAAATAATTAGGTATGAACCTACGATAATAGCCACAATTGCTGCCGTCTTATCAATTTGGGGACACACCTGTCCATGACCCAAGTGGAAGCCCAGATACCGTACCTCCACCCATCCAATCGCACACTTCTTTGGATTAGCCATAAGCCCCGCCCAGCCTCAGCGATCTCAGAATCTCCCCTCAAATGTTGCATGTGCCACTGCCAATCATTGCTGTATATGATAACATCATCTAAATAGGCAGCAGCATAAGCACAGTGGGAGCGGAGAATTCTATCCATGAGTCGCTGAAATGTGGCCAGTGCTCCAAATAACCCAAAAGGGAGGGTGACGAATTGGTGTAACCCAAACAGAGTGGAGAAAGCTGTTTTTTCTCGGGATACTGGAGTCAAGGAGATCTGCCAGTAGCCCTTGGTCATATCCAGTGTCGAGTAAAAAACCGAGCAGCACCTAACCGATCGAGCAGTTCATCAATACGTGGCATTGGATAGGCATTGACCTCAAAGGGTCCTTGCCATTTGGCAAGCAATTTGGAGTTCGATGTGGGGAGTAAAACGAGTACTTTGTCTCCCGGTGAAAACCTATGCAGCTGAGTGCCCCTGTTGTCGGTGCGGCTCTGACATTCTTGAGCCTGGAGCAAATTCTCCTGAGTTAAGTGCCCCAGTGCTTGGAGTTTTGCTCTCAGGTCAAGAATGTACTGGATTTCATTTTTGCTGTTTGAAGGTCCCTCCTCCCAGTACTCTTTAATAACGTCTAGGATGCCCCTGGCTCTCCTCCTATACAATAATTGAAAAGGAGAAAACCCGAAGGGGCTTGTGGGACCTCTCGCATTACAAACAACAGGGGTTCTAGCCAATTATCCCAATTTTTAGCATCCTTGTGAACGAACACCCGAATCATAATTTTAAGGGTTTGGTTGAAGCGTTCGACCAGTCCATCTGTTTGGGGGTGATAAACACTGGTACAAATCGATTTAATGCCCAACAATTCGTATAGTTCACGTAAAGTCTGCGACATGAACGTTGTGCCCTGATTAGTCAAGATCTCTTTCGGGATCCCAGCTCGGGAGATCACTTTGAAGAGTGCCTCTGCAACGGTACGTGCTGAAATGTTGCGAAGAGGCACCGCCTCTGGATGTCGCGTTGCATAATCTACTAAAACCAATACAAAGCGATACCCATGTGCGCTTCGATCCAATGGTCCGACGAGGTCTATGCCAATTCTTTCGAATAGGACCTCGATTAATGGGAGGGGGCGCAAAGGCGCTTTTGGGATGGCCGGAGGGTTTACGAGCTGGCCAGCAGAAGCGGACCATTAGACGATTAAGTGTCTTCACTTGTCCCAGATGCCCTGCCATGGGATTATTATGAGCCGCATGGAATAACATTTCCCTACGGCTTTTCGGTACTAAAACTGGGTTGAAACCTTTGATGTTTGAGTGTCTCAAGTCACTCTGTATAGTCTATCTTTAATGAGTGAAAAATGTGGATATGACAGGGGCTATCCCGGCTCAAGCAACTGACCATCAATAACTTTCACTTGGTCAAAGGCGTGCTTCAGTGAATCGTCACGTGACTGCTCCAGAGGGAAATCCCCAAGGGGAGCCAGGTGGGTAACCCCGGAGGCGCGGCCACACTCTTGCCCCCCCCTCGCTCAGAAGCTGTCACAGATGGATGCGGAAGCCTGCCTGACTCGAGTGCGGCACGTGCCCCCTTCCTTATAGTACTGTATGACCCATCCTCTACCAAAGCCTTCACTAACACCCCAAACTGCGGCCAATTTGTCCCCAAAATCAGAATACTCACTGGTATGCGGTATGCTCCAGCTTAATCAGGGGAGGTGGGTGGCGACGTGGGAACCCGGACCAATGTTCCGACCTCCATGTGGTGGCACTGGTCCTGGAAATGTCCGGGCTCCCCACATCGCCAACACACCTGCACAGGCTTCACCCCAGCTCTTGTGGGCTCAGCTGTTGCCCCATGAGCAGAGAGAGAAGGTAGACCATGAGTAGCTGCAGGGGGGGTGCGGGAGGTAGAAAAGAGAGGGGTTGTGGGTAGGGCGAGAGCGGGGAAAGGGTTTGGGGGCTAGAGCTCCCTTCTTTCTGGGAGCAGGAATAGGGAGCGAGAGAGAAGGAGAGAGAGATATTGGCCGGGTGGGGGTTCCTGCCCCTGAATACGCCATCATGTGCGCCTCTGCCAGCTTTGTGGCCTCTGCCAGCTTTGTGGCCTCGTCCAGCAATTCCCGTTGGTGGCAATGGACCCAAGCTGCCGTGTCCTTGGGTAAGCAGGCGATGAACTGCTCCAGCACCACCAGGTCGAGTCCCTCTTTGGAATCGCGTTCTTCTGACAAGAGCCACCTCCTGCAGGAATCACGGAGCCATTGAGCCAGCACAAAGGGCGAGCCAGCACAAAGGACGCTCTCGGGAGCGTCAGTGTGCGGAACCGCTGACGGTGTTGCTCCAGAGTTCGACCAACCCTCTGGAGGACGGCCTTTTTCAGCTCATCACACTCCAGCTGTGACTGAGTGGGGAGTTGTTGGGCGGCAAACTGGGCTTCCCCTGTGAGCAGTGGCAGCAGTCGGATGGCCCAGTCCTTTTCCGGCCACCCCAGTCTTCCGCCGCTCTCTCAAAGAGCTCCACAAATGCTTCTGGGTCGTCTTGTGGAGTCATCTTCAAGATGGTTGTGTCTGCTGCAGGAGGGAGAGTGTCTTAACTATCTCTCCAAGCGGTGAGGACTCCTTAGCGACGTTCGTCCAGTCCATACGGGTTTCGGCACCACTGTAACAACTTTAATGATGTGTTGAGAAAGGACGCTGGGGTCAGGTGTGAAGACAGAGAGCTTTTATCATATATACACAATGCAAAACTCACTCGGCTTTTCAGCCCACAGATAAATTAAGGCAAGACGTTCGCTGGGACTTTTCAGTCCGGTTTTTTCTTTCTTGCTCAGCTCAGCTCAGCTCAGTTCAATTCAATACAATTCAACTCGGCTCTCACGCCTTCACGGGTCTCCTTCTTTCTCGGGGCTCTGCCACCTACTGAAGGAAGAGATGACTATAAGTAGGCTGGCAGAAACAAGGCACAGGAGTACATCAACTACTTAGCCCGCTGGTTCAGCCAGACCGGCTTCTCCATCCCACATTCGACGCTCGGCCAAGCCCCCTTCTCCACAGCTATATTTTCTTGTAGTGTTGGTCTTTAAAGCTATAGTCAGGGTGTTTTACAAACATAAATAATCACTGTCTGCATGTTTTAAGTCGTTTAATGTTTCATATATTATGACTGTGTACTAATATTTCATTTAATATATTACGGTTAAAAAATCAGTCATCTGAATCTCTGTACTGCAATATGCCCAGAATGAAGAAGTGACAGTTGATGTTGACAAATATAGGCAAAAGCCCAAAAAACATGCTGATTAGAACTTTAAGAACATACTATTTAAGGTAAGCTCTGATTGTGATCATGATGACTAGGTTGGGCACTGTGTTCTGTAAATGATGTTGAAATTCAGCTAAATAAAGTTAATTTTAGATTAGAAGTGGTACTTCTGTACTGCACCACTGCTGCTTGCACAGTGTTCCAGTAGTACCTGTTCCTGTCTTTACATGCACACCAGTGGCTTGATATTAGTGTAACTTATGTTTTTTTTTTTCAGCACAGAACGGTTACCAGTCTGTACCCAATCTATCTGTCTTGAGCACCTGTGTCTGTTTCTCTTCGCATAAGCCAACTGGGAAATCAACAGAGTTCTCTTTAGTTCATGTGGTCACATGATTTCTAAGGCATCTAGCATAAAACACAAAAAAGTAGCACCAACAGAAGAACTTTTCACTTTACTCTGCATTTGGTTTTATGTGAGAATCAGAGACAGCTATTCCGTCTTGCCAGTTGTTTGTGCTAGATGGAGTTGTTTGACTACAGTGACACCACATGTAGGTTCTGTTTGAGAAAAAGGTGGTTTTGTAATGGGGCTCACCCTGAGGTGGATTAGAAACCAGGCCTCTAGGTGTGGGACACGTGAGCTTTACTATTTCGGGTCCAAAATATATCAAGCTGGAACCCAAGACTGTTCCTCAGGGCCATACCTTACCCTGTCCTGCTCCAGACCCAGCGTGAGTCTAGAATGCACCTGACTGTATATGTAGGCAGCATCCAAATGCAGACCTGGGAGTTGTACAGTAGGTAAAAAGGACTATACAGTACTGGCTTCAGTTAGGAAACAGAAAATGTCAGGTTTACCAGCGTAGACCTGGAGAAAAGTAGCCTGAGCACTTTGAAGAGCCCCACATACTGGGGAGCCCGCTTCCTGGCAGATCCTTGGAAGACAGCCACATACCAAACTGGCATGTGATATCCCCGACTATGGGTACTATAAAGTGTTGTTGGCATAGTTAGTCCACAGCAAGTGCTCAGACCAAGAAGAGGGGTTGGACAGTGCCAGGCAGTGCAGAGTTCAAGAGCAGCATGGCTTCCAGTAGCCTTGGAGAAGCAGGCAACTACAAATAACTCTATTGTATTCCTTTGAGATCCTGGCAGTTTTTTTATGAAGTCCAAGGACAGATGTGTGACTCTTGTTCTGCTCACCCCTGAATGCCCAGTTAACTGTGACATGTGCCCCCATTGCAGTACCTTGGCCCTGGAATTTCTCAAGTGGTCCCTTTTCTGGATCAGACACACACTGGAGGGTCTCCTGAATAGCAGCATCAAGGTCCAAGGTCAATTGATGGGGGCTAGAATTGGTGTGGCTGGAAGGATGGGTTTGAGACTAGATTCAGAAGCAGGGGGTTCCCACTGTTGAGTGAGGACATTGGGCTTAAGGCTCTTGGTCCTCGGTTGATAAGATATAATAAAATCAAACTATTTGAAGAACAGAGCTCACCTGTTTTCTTGTACCAGACACTTAGCGTTCTGATTATAAGCCTTGTTTTTGTGGTTGGCCCAGACCATAAACTGATGTTTGGCCCTTTCCAGCCAGTGTCTCCACTCTTCCAAGACAAGCTTTATGGCTAGCAATTTCTGATTCTGAATGAGAGTAAAAGGCACAGGGATGGTACCAGATTTTTGCAAGAGAATAACTCCCACTCCCACATCAGAGGCATCCACTTCCACAATAAAAGGTACATTAGGATCTGGTAATCAGAGCCCCGGCACTGAGGTGAGCCTATGCAGAGGTCACTGACCCTGGGACTTTTGTGAGGTTGGTTAGAGGGGAGAAATTGCTAGAAGTAACCGGCAAAGCCCAGAAACTGTTGGACCAACGTGACAGAGGTGGGACAGGGCCAGTCCATAACAGCCTTGACTTTTGCAAGATCCCTATGCGTACTTCCCTTGCTCCTGTTGTGAGGTGGAAGGCTGTATGAAGCTTAAAGCCAGAGCTTAGGCGTCCTCACAGGTTTGCACTATTTGTGACTCCACCCATACATTCTTGCTTGGTACGCTTGGTACCCAAGAAAAGAGAAGCAACCAAATATGTGGTAAAATCCATCACTATCTTACTTAGTATTACAGCACATTACAGCTGGTTTGAGATGAACAGATGTCTAAGATTTTGAATTCATTAGCCAAAAAATTACATGTTTTGTGGTCATTTTATATTGTGTGCATGTGTGTGTACAGATTAATACCCAGGTGGAGGTGTATGAGGAGAGGAACCTGCTTCTGGAGATTATTGGAGGAGCAATAGGAGGGCTGCTGCTTTTGGCTCTCATCACCACTGGCCTCCTCAAGGTCAGTGTAGTTATCATTATCATTCACTACTCCCACCTCATTGTTTCCAGTATTAGAAGGCTCTGCTGGGCTCTACATAACAGGGCTTGTCTTATCACCTCTAGGTCGGCTTCTTCAACAGCCAGTATACACTGATATTGGAGAAACCTGAGGCCCCTGCAGAGTGACTACTCTAATTCTAAGCATATATTACCCATCTATATGAGTATGTAACGAAGCTTACGCCCAATTCATGCTATTAACATTTACAAAGAGTTTATACAGGAAATAACACACATGGACACTTTACATGGTCTTAAAACTCTTATGTTGACTCCACAGACCACCGCTTGACTGCTGTGATGCAGAACAAACACACCCATATCAGGAACTTTGCAAAACAACTGTGAACTGTTTTAATCATCTTATATCATTCAGGGTGGCCAGGCTGGATATGTAGATAATCACTGCATGTGCATTTTAACTGTAATAATCCTGGTTATCCCTTGAATTTTATGCTCTTGCATGATTAACTACACAATCACTACTATTAAAAAAAATGTTATATTCATTAAACAATGTACAAGTGATAAGCTAAACAAGATGTGTGGTTGAAAATTGTGAACTTATTGAGATATTAAGTTACCTCTAATTGGTATTTTTTTTCTTTTTTTTTGTTTTTATCATTTGAGTTCATTATTTACTTATGGTACTGTGCATCTGTCACTGGACTTTGAGAAAAATAAATAACCATCATTGCATCACAGCTTCCTGGTCCTGAGTCAGTTTGTCAGCCACCTCTCAGGTATCCTTAAACAGGGTGAGAGACAAATTTGTGAGATTTTGTTATTAGGATATGGTGAATTTTTGTCTCAGGTCATGAAAGGGCAGTGGGATTGTGGGAGCAGCAGTGGACTGAAGCAGGCGATGAGAGACAAAATATCATTGATAATTTTGTATTCATTTTTGAATTCATGGAACAATCTCAGAAGAATTACATGAACACAACCACTAACCAGTAAGAACAAGGAACAGCATAAAATAAATAAATAAAGATTTCAAATAAGGTTTTTCACATAGACTCAATATGTACTCTAAATGTGTTCTGAATATGTGGCTTTATGTATTGCAATGGAGAACACTACTGAATACATTTCAGACAGTGCACTCAGTATTCAGCCATCAGCCTGTTCGTAACTAGCTTACCATAGCAAACTCTTCACAAAGAAACACTTATAAAAAAACAGCAATCGACACATAAACATACCATTCTAGTTTACAGTTTGATGCTCTTATTGGTGATGTAATAGTGTTATAGTATGTAAAGTAATAGTGTGTAATAGTGACTTTATCTTCACATGGAAGAGTAAAGATGTCACTGTATTGTAGTTGGCTCAGCTCTAAGTGTTGTCAAAAACAGAGGACAGCACCCTCAGTTACCATTAGGTCATTGTGTGACAATCTAAAGTACTGAACTGAAGGCCAAAAGAAACAGCACAGTTCCTGTTTCCTGTTGCCAAAGGTTCCAGTTGTTTGTGCAGTGAAAAAACACCCTTACAGTGCTTCAGGGCCTGTAAAGGGTTAAAGGTTCCATATCTGAGTTTCTACTTTTTTTTTAAGATAAGATTTTGATGTCGTTTGTAAACATTGTTAAAGTTTCAAAACACACTGTTCACTCCTCAGTCTACATATGGAGACCTAGCAGCCCATTTTGAATGTATCGTTTTGTGATGACCAGCCTATTCAGCCATCATTCCACTGATTTGACAAATTTCTTTACAGTGGTGGTGATAGGAACCAGGGGTCGCCATGACTACAACACTAATATAGTCATTTTATTTACTATCCAGAACCACCAGTGAACCTACAGGAGTCTTCTGAGCTTATATGGAATGTTGATGATGGGAAAATTTGATAAGTTTTAGGCCAAAACCTTCACAAAACTATCATGAAACTGTCCCAGATGAAAGGAAATTCGTCTTGTAGGATTGGAGAAGGTCAGATAGGAAGGAGCAAGATTGTTCAGAGCTTTGTAAGTGAGAAGGATCTTAAACTGAATACTGTAGTTTATGGGAAGCCAACGGAGGTTTTGGAGAACAGGTATAAGATGGTGATGTGACCGGAGGTAAGTGAGGAGATGAGCAGCAGAGTTTTGACCTGTCTGAAGTTTGTGAAGTAATGAGGAGCTGATGCCTGCAAGGAGAGAACTGCAAAGAGAATCTTTCCTGTACAAAGCTTTTCTACAAGCACACCAAGTTCATTAATCACCTTATGTCTGTATGTCAGAGCAGAGCGTCCTGACCTGCAAGTGCATTTGTTTTGGCAGCCACGTCTTTCTCAGTCTCCTGTTTTCCCACATGACAGCTACTCTGCATTTTGCTCTCAGAAATCTTGTTTATCTCTGTAGTGGCCAACCACCAGCTATGTCTGCTTCTGAGTGTATAAAGATGCCCTTCTCTCCTGAAAATAAATGAGTGTGTCTCTGAACATCGATGAGTGTGTCTCTTGTTCTAGCGCACTCCCGGAGCTCCGACAGAGAACATCCAGATAGAGGGAGGTTAAGGTGGGACCAGAGAAAAGGACAAAGGAAACCGTTTCTCACACCAGACACCAGGCAGCGTATTCATAACCATAAGGTGAGGGAGCTTTTAGAGGTGGACGTCTGGTTCCTATCACCACCACTGTGAACAATTCTGACTCAGTAAGTTTCTCTAGAACAGAGCGTTTCACACCAAACCACTCTGAACCACTCTGTTTACACCTAAACGATAAATTATGCAGAGATTGTGAAAGTGATATAGTATAAAAATAAAAAAGTACTAACTTGCATATACGAGTACTGTTACAATTCTAAATTAATATCTATGGTCTCTTTCGTGCATCAGTCAAACAGTCAAACACAAAGACAGTGACCGCTGCCATGTTCTCTTCATATGAAGAAGCAGAACACAAGTAGTACAGAGAGCAGGAACAGAGATGAGGAAGATGATGCTGCACTTTGTGATCTGGTGGTCTCTTGAATAGAGGGTGCTGAGGTAGACTTTGGCATGTAGAGATGAAGATCAGTTACAGTTCTCTGGAGGAAGTCTCCAAACTCAGAGACCCTGGAGAAGACCTGCATTCCGGACTCTCGAACGGAATTCCCTTCCGAAACAGACATGATCACGCCGACCTGCTGCCAGGACAGACCGGACTTACACGTTAACACGCTTCCTAAATCTCCCTGCAGGAAACAGAAGAGGAGAGACAGCTGATTGAAGCATAACATAAAAGAGCTTATGTAGGTAATAGCATACAGTACTGTGAGAAAGTCTGAGACCCCCTTCATTTATTTAATCTGTAGGCAAAAGTACAAGTTATTTGTTTTTAGGCGATATTTCTGAGGAGATCAGATATAAGATAATCCCTTTAAATATGAAAGGTGAAAGTAAGTGGAAACACAGGAGTCTCCAAAACTGGACTTCAAAAAATGCTACAGAGAAAACTGATCTCCTAACAATCACCTGGAAGACCTGGTAGACCCCAAAACAGACCCCTTCAGATAAACAGCACTTAAAGCTTTCATCTTTGAGAGAGAGGAGAAAATCAAGCTGCTTCAGATCTGAAAACATCCACAGGTGTTTCTGTCCATCCTTCCACTGTGAGAAGACGACTCAGCGCTATGGGTCTGAAAGGATGTGTAGCTGTCAAGAAGCCCTTCACTGCTGTGTCTGATCTACTCGTACCAGCGCAACACATACTAACACACCACCGCCACATCAGTGTTACTGCAGTGCTGAGAATGATCCACCACCCAAATAGTACCTGCTCTGTGGGGGTCCTGTGGGGATCCTGACCACTGAAGAACAAGGTAACATAGTATGCAGAGAAACAGATGGACTACAGTCCTACAAAGTGCTCTTATATGGTCAGTGGAGCTGGTAAAATGGACAATGTAGAAACAAGGGGGTGGTTTTAATGTTATGGCTGATTGGTGTGTATCAGCTGCTGTTGGAATGATTCCACATGTGGCCAGAAAGTCAGAAACATGTTACCTCTTCTGTAGACAGTGCTTCAGTGCAGATGTGCTCAGAGGACGACTGGTTTCCACCACAGTCTACCAGAGTCGTCTGCTGCTCTTCCAACTCAAGACCAGCTGGAGACAGAGCAGAGCATCATATTACAGTGAATTTTAAACCAGTACAAGTAATCTGTGTTAATTTTATGCTCAGGAAGCTACAAAAATGACCTACACTTTTTCCTCTCATACTGCAAAGAGCTATTGTTATGATCTCTTAATGAAGCTCCATGAAGGTGCCTTCTTGCAGAAGAACTTACTAGCATTGCCATCCCTGTAGCCAGTGACCCAGCAGGTTAAGCCCGGAGGAAAGCTCCTCTGGTTGTCCGGGTCCACACATACAGGCTGGATGAGGTCACTCAACTCCACCGGCTCCTCCAGCTGCAGCACCGCAATGTTGGGCACATGGGTCAGGTTGCTGAGGGTGATGGCCACCACAGCCACAGAGTGCAGGAAAGTGTCTGAGCCGTTTCTGTCAGACCGATAGCCCAGAGACACTGTCCAGCTGCTGGCATTCTGGGGAGAACTACAACAAAGAGGGAAGGACGTCAGCCAATGTTGGTATGTATGTTTGTTAATATTTCGTTTCGTCGCAGTCCAAACGAAAACAACTATCTGCATTTTTGTGATTTTTAGTTTTCTTCATTATTTGACCTCAGCTGTCCTTTACGTTATGTTACAATTTTGTGATGATTGGACCAATAGAAATGCTCCAAATTTGCTTTGAATAAAATATAAACTTTCATTGAAAGTGAAGAAAGTTTTTGTCCTCTCCTGTAAAGTTACCATTGTGGAGATTCTTGTTTTTCTTTGGACAGAGACGATTTGTTCTAAAGAGGCTATTATAATTAGTATCACAGTTTGGACATGTGTGACCTGCTGCTCCTGAAGGGGAAAACTTTGCAAGTAGTTACCCGCTATGCATGTATGTTTTTTGAGTATTTTGTATCAAAATGTTGCTGAAATTGAAAAAAGATCATGAATTTTAAGGCATTACATTTAAAAAACGGCCCTTTCCTGTTAAAGTCGGTGGGTCTTCACCATGGTCAGCAACAGAATATACCACACTCTCTGACGAAAGGTAGAAGTCTAGCTTGCAAGACTGCTTTTTGACCCAGAACCACATTTTGAGTTTTATTCATCTGTGTAAAGAGTCTCAGCTTGCAGTGATGCCGATATTATTTTTGTACTCCAATATTAGATATCATAATATTTAACTCTCATCAAAAATGATGTACAACACACTCACTTAAGCAGATAAATGTGCAAGTGTCTCACTGCTGTATTTCACTGCTGTCGTATCTCCATTCTTCAGTTTTTGACATAATTTGAAAATGCCTGTTGCCCTTTACATTGTGTGTACAATTCTTGAAGAATGGATTAAAAGAAAAGCCCAAAATTACTTGGAAAGACATCTGGTTCCATTGACTTACATTAAAAGTAAAATAGGTTTTTTCCTTCTCCTGTAAAATTATCATTTCAGAGATACAAGGTTTTCTTCCGACAACGTATATTTACCCAAACTGTCCACTTATTAGCTAGGCCCGCTATCATATAATGCTACCAGGCTGTGAAAGTGAAGGCAAGCATGTTCTTCCTCTGAGCCACGTGAAGCTCCACCACATCATTTCAAACTACCGCTAGCATAACATCATTGGACAGCTCAACACGCTTGGAGGAGAACACTAACTGCTAATTCTGTCAACTAACAGACACGTGCATTGGCTAGCATTGATCTGAGTGATAGGGGGAGAGGGAGGACCATCCTGCCCCCCCAGAGAGAGAGAGGGGGGACAGTAATGCTGCCTCTGCCACAGATGGCTGTGACCTACAACCTCCTGGTGATACGGCCAACTCTTAGACTGAGTGTTTGAGTTTGAACTCTAGCTTCTACACAAATCACTGTGATGTTCAAAATGTAAGAAAGCGTTCACATCTTACTCTGATAAGCACAGCGCAGTCGTCATGACAAACTCTGCGCTTATTAGAGTGCCCGAACACATGTGCTGTCCATCCCACTGTAGGCTGACCATCCAGGGCCAGGTCCCATCTATGGTGGAGGTGTTTCCTCTGCTGCGAGAGTTGAGTGGGGCTTCACCACACACGTGCCGCTGTGGTGCTCTGGAGGTTGTTAATGAAGCGGTGGTGGGGCAGGTGTAGGTGCTGTCAGGATCAGCTCCACTGGAGAGGAACTGGACGAAGCCTGGAGGGTCACTGCTGATGTGAGAGCTGATCCAGGTTTGATAGCGAGACACTCTGGCGTAAACTCCGGGAAGCTCAGGCTGAGCGCAACCAAACCCAAAACTGACCACGCCCGCCTGAACCCACACCGAGTTCTGCTTGCTCACCATCGGACCTCCTGAATCCCCCTGGAAGCAGAGTTAAAATGTGTAATTTACGAATAACTTTTATGTTAATTTGTTTATGCCCAAGAAAGTACTAAACTGGAAAAGGACCATAGACCTCTGAAGTCATGTGATATTCTGAGGTCAGTATTATGCCCATATTAGGAACCTCAAGGCTAAGCAGATTTCTCTATGGGAGAAATGAATGGCATTTTTGAAAACTGCTGCAGACGCACCCTGTGATCAACCAAACAGATCCAGACCTGAAACATATCGTCCTACATACATCCCAGAACATCACTGGATCCTCTGAACTAGGGGGTGGTTTAGCAGTTGAAATACAAATTATAGCACACATTATAAGCAGCTCAGGCCCAGAGCTCCTAATATGCACATGACACTGACCAGGACTGCATTTCCCCAAAGCATCTTTGAGCAACCACCATGGTACCTGTGGAGAGAGAGTGTTCAAAATGAATGTCCCTCTATCATTTCACCTCAAACTGCAAACTGGTTGAGCTATTCTTAGGTTACAGAAGTGTGTAATAAGCTTGGGGCACGCTGGTGGGCCCTGACCATTTAAGGGGGTAACTATGGTAGTTGTTCAATGATGCTTTTGGAAAACACACCCCAGGTACATTTCTACATGTTTACCATCATAACGATGGCAAAGATATTTGAATGTGGATGGCAGAGGTGGGGACAAGTCACTAAGTTGCAAGTAACAAGTCTCAAGGTCTTGACACTCGAGTTCCAAGTCAAGTCCTGTCAAAATAAAATATCTAAAATAAAATAAGCCGAGCGTAACAGACATTTGAGGACATTGCTGTGCGTCAAATTTAGGTCAGAAAACAAATCCATTCCCATGAAAAGTAAGCGGCTGTGTAGAGTCCCATCTGCAGCCAAACACCTCTCCACATTTGTCGAATCAGGTGTCAAGTCATTAAATTTGTGACTTGAGTCGGAATCGAGTCTAAGTCATATGACTTAAGTCCCCAACTCTGGTGTTTGGTTACGCAAATTGGAAATGACCATTTCTTACTCCAGTCGAAGCCTCACCCCTTTCCCCACCACCGTGATTATACATGCTATTACTTTTAATGTGCTACACAATTACAATATGGCAAGAGGCAACACTGACCAAACGGTCATATCATATCTGTCAAAAAATACCGCAGTGTTTAAATTTGGAGTTAGTTTTTACTAGATAACATTATTTGCCTCAGTGAAACTTAAACTACCTAGCTAGCTAATGTTACTGACAGCAAGCAGCGAGTCTGGCCAATGTCGTTATCATGTTATTATTCTGTAATTAGAATAATTTAGTGTACTGCACCATAATATTTGAAATGTGAGTTGATATGTAACACCCCACCAATTCTGTGATATGAATGTCTCTGGATGAATCAGGGAGTCATGTGATCTGTGACTAAATTGGAAATGGCTATTTATTAGATGTAAAATTCACTATTGAGATGGTGAAGTTGTCATTTAAGGACTTGCATAGTGCACTTCACTAAGAGGAGGGAACCATTTGAGATTCAGGCTCTGCTTTCAAAAATGTCAAAATGTGAAATTGTTGCTGTGTGTAATAAATGTAACCGGTCAACCACCAATCTATATGATAATAATAGCCATGCAGGAGGAGTTAATCCATTTACAAAGCAGGAGGTCAGCAATAACTACATGGCAATTCTAAACATGTGAAGTACAATAATGACCAATATAAAAGAGTGATTATATCCTGTACCTGGCAGGAGTCTTTGCCCCCTTCTAGTAGGCCAGCACAGATCATGTTGTTTGTGATTGCTCCAGTGTAGAGGCAGTTACACTGCCTGTTTCCTATTACTGGGATATCAACTTCCTGCAGGGTTTGAGGAGACGGAAGGGGCACTGAGAGAAAATGAGAGCAGAGAGAAAGTGAAAGAGTGAGAGACACTAAAGTGGAGAAAGTGGAGAAAGACCATGAACGTCACCCTGACAGCCAGTGTCATTTGAGTAGGGCAGGGGTGTCAAACTCAACCACTGAAAGGGCCATATTAAACAATCTAAACAAATCAGAGGGCCAAAATCAACAAATACACACACACACACCTTCTAAGCCATTCATCCTTCTGAAATATTACATGAAAACTTGAAATATTAAAAAAAAAGTCCTCAGGAGTCTTTTGAATGTACCTGTGTATTTGAATTAGCACACATTACATTGCAATGCATGTTGGGGATTGTAGTACAGCGCATTATGAAATGGGTAAAACTGTCTAATATTAATATAAAATCGAAATAATTTTGCGGGCCAGATAAGACCGTGGGCCTGATCTGGCCCACGGGCCTTGTGTTTGACATATAGGGACTAGGGGGCACCCAAACTGTTGCATATGACTGTATAACAGATATGGGTCATTCTACAGAAACGTCCACTTTTCTATCTCTCCATAGGAGTCACTGGTGTTACTGATCCTCACTGGTGTTACAGATAATAAAGGAACACCAGAGACTTTTTTAATGAACAATGCATTTTACAGAACAGCTGCTACAGAACATCAAACCACATGTTTGTCCATCATGGAATATCCACTAAAATATGTAATTTAATTCATTTGTATTCTATTTTTTCACAGTTTCCTCAGAATAAAGTCGGTCACACCAGTGACTTCAGCTAAAAGCTTCATATGAAATCATGAGCTGAATGAGAAAATCTCTGATAACTGAAAGACACAGTGGACTCACCATGTGCTTTTCTTCATAGATCCTCAGAAAACAGGTAAAAGGAAGTCAAGTGATGTCATCAGTGTGACTTTTATTTCAAAATAAGAGATTTTTTGTTTTTTTATGTCATTTAAATCATATATTTCATAGTCATGTATAGATTATTGTAGTTAAAATTGCAAAAAAATGTGTTTTTTACATCAAAATATGGCCTCACCGTTTACACATGACTGTGATGAGCCCAACTTAGTTTTATTTTAAAATATACATAAATGTTAACCTTAACATGTATTTTTTTTAATTGTAATATATCTGTAAACGCTAGGGACACAAACATGGACGTTTCTGTAGAATGACCCATATAAATTTGAGCATGGCAAAGGTTTGAAATTCAATTTTTATCATTTTCAGCAAAAAAGAGACAAAATGCTTGTACGTCACTCACAACACCCCAGGAATACTGAATACCATGGTAATGTTTGGAGACAAAAGGGGGACGCTGCCCAACTCACAGTCATCTACAGAAACACAGGTTTCGCGTGTTGTTTGCTGGATACAGCAACTGCCAGTTGGCTTCCACTGTAAGTGCTTATTGAGTCGACACACTTTCTGTTCCTGAGTGCTCCCTTAAGGCTCATCCACAAGGCGAAGTATGAGGCAAACTCACCGCCTTGGCTGACGTCCCCCCAGCCTGTGACCCAGCTGGCCGTGCCTGTGTTGAAAACACTATCTTCTGCTGCCAGACACACAGGCCTGACATAGTCAGTGAAGGAAACTGGAGCGTCCAGCTTGACGAGAGCCACGTCGTTCTCTTTTACATCACTGTTGTAATTGGGGTGCAAAACTATCACTGAGACGTTTCTGGACACTTCATTGGGGTTGCTGCCCTCTTGGCTCTGTCGACCCAGATACACAGTCCACTCAAACGTGCTGGAGCTGAGGAGAGACAACAGCTATTAGACAAACACATAAGATTCTCTGTAAATTCATATTTTATTTCACTTCAGCTGTGAAAGCTTTTACACTGACCCCTCGAAGCAGTGAGCAGCAGACAGCACCCAGTCTTTATTGATGAGGGAACCTCCACAAGCATGTGCTTCAAAGAGATGCAGACTCGCCTGCCAAGGCCAACTTCCAGCTGTAGCATCATGACCTCCGACTATCCTGGAGCTGAAGAACGTGGTGCCGCACACTGTGGAGTGGAGAACAAAGATGTGGACAAGATAAACCATAACTCTCCAGTTGAGTTACTTGTTTGGAAATACAAATTTTTCTTTGAAATAGCCACAGAACAAATGTGTATATATATATATATATATCTGCTGTCAGAACAAAACCTTGTATCTCTGTTTTTCAGTTTTTGATATCATTTGAAAATGCCTGTTGCCTTTTACATTATATTTAAAGTTTATGATCAAAGGACCAGAAGAAACGGACCAAAATTACATCAAAAAAAAGTCTGGTTCCATTGACATTAAAGGTAAAGTATGTTTTTCCCTTCTGTATAGTTACCATTTTGGAGATACAAGGTTTAGTTCCAACAGCAGCGAGATATATATATATATATATATATATATATAAAACCCTCCATTTTTGTTGTTTTTCAGTTTTTGACATTATCTGAAAATGCCTTTTGTCCTTTACAATGTATGTAAATTTCAGGATGAATGGACCAAAAGAAATGGCCTAAAATGTCTTGGAAAAAATTCTGGTTCCATTGACTTACATTGAAAGTAAAGAATGTTTTTTCCTTCTCCTGTAAAGTTACCATTTTGGAGATACAATTTGCATTGCATTGCAAATGGTTCTTCAGGTTAATGATGGAGAATGTGTGGCATATGGTTCTCTATGGATCCTTTTTCGAAAAGGGTTCTACATAGCACCAGAAAGCATTCTCTTATTATTACGATACAAGTTTGTTACAGTAGAAGAACCGATCGAAAAATTATATATAAAAATTCAATATAAAATTAGGGCACTAGAAGAAATATTTTATGATGCAAAGAACCCGTTAATCATGCAAAGGGTCCTTTGAGTTTTCATGCCCTATATAGAACCATTTTCTTTACTAAATAACCCTCACAGCTGTGTATATATATATATATAAACACACACACACACACACACACACACATATATATATATATATATATATATAGAGAGAGAGAGAGAGAGAGAGAGAGAGAGCTGAATTGAATTTAACAGACTTTTTTTTCCTCCAACATGTGAAATTCAGCAAATATACAGTATCTGTGCATTAAAGTGTGTGCTGGAGCGTCTCTGTAGAGGATGTGTTCACTTATTTACACTTAGAAAATCACTATGATCCCGTTCTTGCTACAGCAATGGAGATGCCAAATCTGCACAACTAAGCTGTACATGTGGATTGTGAGAATATTGATATATATATTGATCTCATCATGGATGTTGATTTCACACACAGCACATGTTATTAATGACAGTATTGACCTTATGATTTCTAACAGTGTACCTTCAGCAGAGGAACTGGAAGAGGAGTTCGTTTTACTGGAGTTTTCAGGTCCGGTGGTCACTGACAGTGGCAGGGCAGGGCAGGTGTAGGTGCTGTCAGGATCAGCTCCACTGGAGAGGAACTGGACGAAGCCTGGAGGGTCACTGCTGATGTGAGAGCTGATCCAGGTTTGATAGCGAGACACTCTGGCGTAAACTCCGGGAAGCTCAGGCTGAGCGCAACCAGTCCCGAAACTGACCACGCCCGCCTGAACCCACACCGAGTTCTGCTTGCTCACCATCGGACCTCCTGAATCCCCCTGGAAACGAGGAGTTTACCAGTCAGTTAGTGAAATTGAAGAAGTTGATGACGTAAAGATTTCAAATCACAAATCTGTTTTTTACAGATATTTACAGGCGGCAGTCTTATTACACACTTCTATAACCTGGGAATATCTCAGCCAGTTTGCGTTGAAGTGCCTGTAGTTACTCAATAATAAGCCTTAGTGTGTAATAAGACTGAGATTTTAAGCGGTTAATTAAATTTACAGGTGTTTAAGTGACTCTGTCCAAACTGTAAAATGCAATCTCTACATCTGTTGTAAACACACCTGCCCACCTACCACAGTGGTGCTGTATAGACTGTAGAGAGAGATTTTATAGGTTAAAGAATAGGACTGCCCCCTTTCTGGTGATGTATCTTGAAGGTGGGATGGGCTTTAGACAAACTACAAGCTCGTTTTGAGATACTCTGAGGGGGGCTTTTTTGTTTCTGTGTGTTGTTCTGGCCCACAAATGCATGAAGGAAGCCAGGTCGATGATGGTGCTGCTAGGAAGCCAAATGTCTGTACTGATTAGCCTCTACATTTCTTTGTTGCAATCGTGGGGATTCTCAGTGGTTATACGATGTGTTTGCATGATGCATGCTGGGTATTGTAGTGAGAGAACACATGGGACAGGATGCAAAACTGAATTCTGTCAAACCGAAGAGGAAATAACACATTAGATGCTAGTTTTAGGCCAAAACGAGCCTTTAATGCAAGTTTTACTTATTACAGTAATGAAATGTATGTGTGAATGTATCTCGTACCTGGCATGAGTCCTTGCCTCCTTCTAGTAGACCAGCACAGATCATGTTGTTTGTGATTTCTTCAACACTATACAGGCACCTACACTGTCTGTTTCCTATCACTGGAACCTTGACTTCCTGTAGAGTCTGAGGCAGTGGAAGAGACACTGAGAGAAAGAGAAAGAAGAGTATTTTCTGCCTCATTTTCTTACAGAGAGCACTGGTGAATTCATTTCAATCCAATTCCATTAGCTTCTGCCTTTACTCTCACCTCCCTCATTAACGTCCCCCCATCCAGTGACCCAGCTGTCTGTTCCACTGTGAAAAACACTGTTATTAGCTGCCAGGCATGCCGGCCTGATGTAGCTGGTAAAACTGACCGGAGTGCCCAGTTTGAGTAGAGCGACGTCGTTATCGTTAGAGTTACTGTCATAATCAGGGTGCAGGATTATCGTAGAGACTCCTCTGGAAACTTCGTTTGGGTTGTCGCCTTCCTGATTCTGCCGGCCCAGATACACGGTCCAGCTGGACGTGCTGGAACTTTTGACCAAGGGGAACAAAAATAGACACAGGGATTATGTACAGTTGTATGGAAAACTTTGAACAGTTACAGCTTTTGTTGAAAAATGAGCTCAGCTCAGGTTTAACCGTCTAGGGACTTTGTGGATTTGTGCATATCTTCTTAAACTCTCCATTAAAGGCTCTTCATATAACATGATACTCATATCGCTGTTGTTGGAAGAAAACCTCGTATCTCCAAAATGGTAACTTTACAGGAGAAGGAAAAAACATACTTTACTTTTAATGTAAGTCAATGGAACCAGACTTTTTTCCAAGTCATTTTGGGTCGTTTCTTTTACACCATTCATCATGAAACTTACATACAATACAAGGGGGAACAGGTCATTTGAAATTATGTCAAAAACTGAAAAACGTCAAAAACGGACATACAAGGTTTTCTTCCAATAACAGCAACATGTTATATATCAAAACGCTCCATTATCTTCATCACTACTTTCCAAAACCGCTGTAAACTCTCTGCACGCCATTTCACATGTGTCTCTGATTTGGACTGAATGAAGAACGAAGGGTTTCCGGCGTGATGGTCAGTTCTTAGTGATTTCCTAAATGTCCATTGGTCAGTTTCACACAGAATGTAGACGGACACACGAATCCACCAGTTCCACACGGTGAGAGGCAGATGACGTGTATCTCAGCCCCTCTTCATAGGCTCATAACTCCGGATGTGAGTATTGAATGATCTCGTGATAAGATGGAATGGAAAGGTCGACTCTACAGATTCAAGAAATGATTGAACCGTCTTTCTATTCATTTGCTGATGAATAATTATTATTATTTGCAATGAAATGCAGGCTGTAAACCACACCAGGCAGTTTTTTTAAAAGCTGCCTTATCTGATAGCAAAATGTTTGTTGATTGACATGCAAAATGACTAATCACAGATACATGTGCACAACAAAAACTTTTGTTAAATAAACTGGAGAACCAGCCTTCTTACTTACTCACTGCCACAGTTTTGAACATAATTCAGGAATAACGTCTTCAAATGCAATGGTGTGAAGGATTCTTCATACAATGAGGCCTATATTTCACTCTGAATGGCTTACTGGTGAGTAGAGATGCGACCGCTTGCTACTAGCAAATCTACGGCGACTCATATTTAACAGTCAGACTGATAAAACCAGTGCACGAAGCACTGAAGCAGGTATAACTTCTCTATGAGAGGTGAGATTCTGAGAGCTGTGGTGATTTTAGCCTTCAGTTTACATCAGACAGTCTGTGTACTTCTGTGTGCAGAGTGCCTGAGACTGAAACTTACTGACATACAACAAAAACTCTTCTGCAGTGCACAAACTGCAGCGTCCACCTCTAGAACCATCCCTATTAGCAAGCCTGGAACACATTTTTTCTAATATGGTAATGTCGACTAGTCAGCTATTGTTGACTGACTAGTCACTCAGAGAAATGTAGTAGTCCAGCCTTCAGTTCAGTTGCAGATAAACACGTATGACTTTATTGAGATCTCGACCAAAACCCATGTGAGGTTACTGACAGCAGGAAAGACTGGAGCAACAGTCTCCTTTGTCCTTCCATCTGATCTAACTGAGTGTGTTTACATGCACTTAATTATCCGATAACTGCAGAAAATCAGATTTTGTCAGTAATCCGATCAACATGTTTACATGCACTTCAGTAATCAGATAATGTGGAAACTCTAGGTCTACATGAGTCAGACAGTAATCAGATTTCTGCTTTACAACCAGCCAATAAACTCACAGAAGAAGACCAGACGTGAACGTACCGTAAAACTCAAACTTCATGTCGCGGCTTTTTTTTAAACATCGCCCACTTTACCTGAAAATATGAACAAACATCATCTAGAAGATGAAGAATATTTAAATCCTTTTTGTCAAGCATGTATTTGGTTTCAGCATCGCTCCAAAAGTGTTCTGCTGCGTCTCACGGCAACACTGCTCACTTATTTCCGGTACCACAGTCTGTTTTCACACAGACTGAGAAATCCGAAAGAAATCAGAGTAAGGGTCTACAGCACTGAGAAATCTGATTACTGAGCTAAAATCCAGCTCAGATCAGATTTCTTAATCAGATTTGTAGACCTTACTCCGATCTAAGAAATCAGAGTGTGCTGTTTACACAACTGTTTGAATATATCAGATAACTGCAGAAATATGAATATGATCAGATTATTGAACGCATGTAAACACACTCATTGTTGTCTAGGAGAAATGACTGAGATGTTAAGGAGAGTTCTGATTTTTCTTCTAGAAGCCTCAACAGCTTCCATTCTATTCAGGAGATTCACTTCCAGAAATTTGATATTACGTTTAAAGATAAACAGCCCTTTGTTGGCCACATGAGACTGAACCCGAGTAAAAATGTTGTGCGGAACACTGACATTAACCAACGATGTTCATCAGTGTTTTAACTGCGTTCACAGCGTTAGCTCAGTTAGGAACAAACCTCGTGAAGAAAAAGCAGTGAGCAGCAGACAGCACCCATTCTTTATTGATGAGGGAACCTCCACAAACATGTCTTCCAAAGAAATGCAGACTCGCCTGCCAAGGCCAATTTCCTGCTGGAGCATCATGACCTCCGACTATCCTGGAGTTGAAGAACGTGGTGCCGCACACTGAGACAGAAGAGAAATGGACAGTGGTAAATAGTAGTCAGTATGTTTGAAATGGTTGGAGTTGTGGTGTATACTGGAGAACAATGACCACTTACCATCCAACTGACCATAAGAGCCTAAAATCAATGAGAGGAAAACATGAGTCAGTTTACATCTCTATAAACAAATACAATACAAATTACATCATTTTCATTCCAGTCATTCAGTCCAGTTTTCTGGGGAATACCATTTACTCATACATGTGAAAAGTATCTTTTAATTAAACTGTATTCCTGAACAGGGAATACACCATAAAATCCAACAAACCCTGCTTAATGTTGCTCCATTTCTCTTCTCTGGACTCGAGCTCATCTGAATGGATATTGTGTTCTCTGGGCCAAAGAAGAAAAAGACCATCCAGGATGTTACCAGAGTAAAGCTAATAGTCAGAGTTTGGGGGTGTTGGGTAGGTGCCATTAATGCTGAAAGACACACTATATAGCCAAAAGTAGCTTCTGGGAAGCTTTCTACAAATTTTGGAGAGTCTGTGGGAATTCTTGCCCATTCATCCAGAAGAGCATCTGTGAGGTCAGACACTGATGTTGGACGAGAGGGTCTGGATCACAATCTCCATTCTAGTTCATCCCAAAGGTGTTGGATGGGGTTGAGGTCAGGGCTCTGTGAGGGCCAGTCAAGTTCTTCCAAACCAAACTCACCCAGTCAGGCCTTTATGGAGCTGCTTTGTGCTCTGGGTCTCAGTCATGGTGGAACAGGAAAGGTTCTTCCCCAAACTGTTCACACAAAGTTGGTAGTGTACACTTGTCCAAAATGTCTTGATCTGCTGAAGCATTAAGATTTCCCTTCACTGGAACTGAGGGTTCTAGACCGACCCCTGAAAAACAGCCCCATATCATCATCCCTCCTCCACCAAACTTTACAGTTGGCACAGTGCAGTCAGGCAGGTAACGTTCTCCTGGCATTCGCCAAACCCAGACTCCTCTGTCAGACTGACAGATAGAGAAGCTGATTCACTCCACAGAATACGTTTCCACTGCTCCAGAGTCCAGTGATGGCGCTTTACTCCACTCCATTTGTACATAGGTAAAACATCAAATATTGTGTTTTTGTACCATTTTCAGTTTAATACAGGTCAAACTTAATTTACTAATCACTACTTTCTGTTTTCATTAGCATCTCACATACTGTCTTAACAGCATGCAACAGAGTGGTCCATATAAGATTATTCCATGAAAAGGGCAGTAGTTTTTAATAATGTTTTATTGCTGAATTTTGTAAATGTATATATATATATCAAATAACTCACCGAGTGAAAGAAGACTAGCCAGTATCAGCACATAAACCCAATCCATTTCAGTCACTGTAACCCGATGAAGCGTTTACGAAGCAAAACGTCTTATAAATTAACTGTCCGTCTGCCTGACTTTATAACCGGCCCACAGACACTGCCCTCTCACACCTCTTTAAACAGCTCCAGTGCTTTTTACACTGATTTACTTCCTTGTTCATTCAAGGTTCATATTTAAGCTGGGTGCGTGTCGTTAAACATAGAACCGCTCCATGTCCATCTATTGCTTAATAAACCACTAGAGTGAATGAAAGCCTCACAGTACCTACATACACAGTCAGAGGTGCGGCTCATATGAGACACTTCATCCTAGAACACAGAAACACAGACAGCAGAACATTTAGGCCCTTTGTTGGTATGTGTGCTCACATTTACTGACGTTTGACATGACTTATATCCCTCTCTGCAGTGCATCAGGAAAAGAAGGGGATAAAAAAAAGAAGTAAAACCCAAATCTTTCATCTAATCAGCACAGCTGGCCTTGAAATAACTGCCTTTGTTTAATTACTTAAAGTACTATTTTTTTAAAATTTCTGCATAATTAAATAGTGAAGATGTAAACAAAGTCGTTCAGAGCGGTTTGGTGTGAAATGGTTCAGATGTCTTTACAGTGGTGGTGATAGGAACCAGGGGTCGCCATGACTACAACACAAATATAGACATTTTATTTACTATCCAAAACCACCAGTGAACCTACACGAGTCTTCTGAGTTTATATGGAATGTTGATGATGGAAAATAGTGAAAAATCTGAAATAATAAGTCTTCTTTGGGGACTATTTGGCCTTATTACACCCTGTATGTACATATGTACCTCTCCACCATGAATGCATTAAAAATATGTTTCAGACCAAAACCATTGTAAAACAGTGTCTCAGTCATCAGGCAGTGAATTCATAACCATTTCATGTAGTAACTTTCTCTGTTTCTGGTTCCCATCACCACCACTGTGAACAATTCTGACTCTGTAAGTCAGAGTTTCACACCAAACCACTCTGAATGGCTCTGTTTATATCTAAACAGATTAATTATGTAGAAGATTTTGAAAAATCAGTGGAAGACTCCTTTAACCAAGCCATTGTTTCATTACACACACAAAACACTGAGCCAGTTAACCTTTAACCACGATAAAAGAATCATTATGTCCTTAAATCATTAATTCAAGCAGGGTGCTTCACTGAGCTCCGGAAAAGTGCTGCTCATCAGGCTTTCACATGACCAGAAACATCAATAATTAAATAACAATGATATTTTCACCTGTTTTGTATCTGTTATTGTATGTCTAGTGTTCTATTTCAGTGCTCGGACCACCCAGACATCGACCTTCGTCCTGTGAGTCAGGAAATTATAGTGAGGAATGGCAACATTTTCCTGAGGCAAATAAAACTGTCTGTAGTGACGCCACTGCACTACACCCTTACAAATAAAATGGCTTTTCAAGGTTACATTGGTAAAGGTGGTGGTCACAGAGCTGTAAAGACTCAAAGAACCATTTGAATAAATACGGCTGTCTCAAAGATGAACCACCTGCTGTATATGGCTGTTTAAAGAGCCCATATCATGGCAAACTGTGTTTTTTGACTGTATATCTAGTACTATAAGTGGAACCCCTGGGATACGAAAGAACTAGAAAAATGTAGGACACGGGCCCTTTAAAGAGTTTTTCAAAATGGTTCTTTCTAACAAATATAAATAATAATAATCATAGTATGTCAGGGGGTCGCAACCCAAATGTTAAGAAGAGCCCTTTCAGTAAAATTCAGTCCACCTTAATATAACCATAATATAAACAAAAACGCAGACTCACTTTGCTCTGCTTTAAGCTTTAGCTCAGCTATAGCCACTTTTCTCACATCTCTGATAGGAAACCTTTCCTCAAAAGTAGAAGTTTCTTGTAAAATGTCTCTCAACGTTCGACTTTTTATGAATCAAAGTCGCTTCTTGTTCAAATTTTCCTATTCCACCTTAAATGGTGTCTGAGGCCCCAGAATGTCACTGCTGCACCATTTAAGGTGGAACGGGAAAATTCAAACAAGAAACTGACTTCAGCTTTGTAACTTTTTAGTTATAGAGTGATTATAAACACAAATAAGTCCATTAATCTCTAAATTATGGATGTTCGTCTTAAATCTCTCTCTTTGCCGTTTCGTTAGCTACTAGCTAGGCGAGATTGTTGTCTGCGTTGCTATGGTGACCAGCAGTCTGCGCTGATCTTCAGGGTTAAAGGGTTAATTAGCAGTTCTACATTAACTCCAGAGTTTAAGACCATTTATTGTTAAACTGTGTTGAACGATCAGCAGAGCTTTATTTTACTGTAAAGGAGGATTATTTTATTTTTACCTACAAATCTAATGTTGCTGCATGTTGCCGACCCCTGAACTATGTAGAACCCTTTTTGATAAGAATAAACCTTCCATTACTCACTCCAGTAAGGTTTGCATTGTTTACCATGTTATTATCTAATGATAAGCCTAAGCAAGTAGCTTAGACATGAAAAGGGTTAACAAAACATTTTGCATCATGTTAGCTATAAAAAAAATCACCTGCTAAATTTGTGATACACTACACTGTAATTACTAACATTAAAAGATCCTGAAATAATAATAACAATAAAAATAATAATAATAATAATAATAAAAATAATAATAATAATACATGATCAACAGTGTGCAAAACATCAGCATGCAGCACTTAAAAGCTTCTCTCTCTTCTTCATTTACCTTCACAGACAGGTTTGATTGATTTTTATTGGCTCCACTCTGAACCTGCCTGTTGCTGGCTGTGTAAGAGGCTGTGAGTGATGACCATGATGGACTGCAGTGTTAATGACCTCAAACATCATGCCCTCTCTCCTCTATCAGCACTGAGGACTTTAAATAACCTGAAGTACAAACTGCAGCCCTTCATCTTACATGTGAGTGATCAGGAGACAAAGGCCCTCTCAGAGTCTGAGAGCTTACATAACCACTCATACATCACATTCAGTACGACTGACTGACTCTAATAATACAGGTGCTGTAACTGAAGAAGCTCACGGTTAGTGTTTCGTAAAAAAGCAGCATCTTTCACAATTTTAACAGGTTCATTGTGAGATACCAGATCATAAGTGTGAAGAGGAAAAAGGCATGGCGACAGCACCGAGCCCTGAGGCACACCTGTGCTAAGTGACAAACACTGTGACGTTAAATTATTGAATTTTGACAGTGTTTCCTTCCGCTTAAAAAGGCATAAAGCTGGGTTAATTTAAATCCAATACCTTTTGAAAGCACTTGGTGAGATTTGTTTCCTTATTTAAGGAGTGAGGAGTAAATGCTTTGTTTTAAAACCTTAACAATGTCCATATGCTACATCAAAATCTTTCATTTTAAAAAATCAATGATATAGTCCATTTAAAGAAATATCTCAGAATCTCATGCACAGTGGCTCATATTTTGTCCTACCTTTAGCACAATGCTAGTGGAAATAAGTGAATAACTGATATGGATTTGATCATTTGATGCTTTTTTTCCCTCTAGTGTCATTAGAGTTTCTAATTCATTATAAAATAAATACTAATTACTGAATTTTCAGAAAGAATTTCTAATGTTCGTGCCCTCTAAAGTGAAGTGCTGAATTATTCAGCCTTTTTAATCATTCTTTACCAAAATGGCCCTCATTCTTTAGGCCCCACGAGGCCGGAGGTGAATGATAAGAGCAACATGACTAATAAAGAAACCAGACTTTCTCAACATCATACGCAACCGGACCCGTTCACTGCTGCTGTTGTTCCTAACAGCAAAAACAATAACTGTAAAAGTATGAAGAATGTTTTCTTGAACAGAAGTGTTTCTGTGTTTTATGTCACAAAGACGTTCTCATTCATCGACTCACATGACACTCTCTATAAAGTCGGGCGTGTGACGTGGGATCCAGAGAAAGTTCATGTTCCAGATAAAAGGACAAAACTTTTCCTTCTTCCTGGAAAATCACTACAAACTCTCCTCGTTTTCTTTCCTCTCTGTGACAATGAAGGTGTGAGACGCCTCTTTCAAAGCTCTGCATTGTTATTACTACAAAAGAGTAACAGGTGTTTCCTGATTAGATTATACAGGCCTGTGTTCACCTGTAGTGTGCCTGTACACAGCCACATGCGAAAGTTTTAACACCCTCCAGGCATATTACACGGTTTGTTGGAAATCAGTGAAACTTTGTTAACTCACCCATTTCAGAGAGCACACTTAAATTATTAGTTATTATTAGTATTTTTTTATTTTACTTCTAGTTATTTGCTGAGTTTGACCAAAGATTATAGATTATATAAGGTAAACCAATATGGCGCATGCCTATCGGGCAAAAAGGGGTTCGGTCAAAGCTGGTTTATGAGGAGTCTGGCCTCTTCCTATTTCCCCCTTTATATCAAAAACATGACTGCAAAACACCAGAGGGCGCCCGCGAGCGAGTCCTCAATGAGTGTGGTGAATGGAGCTAAATGGCTAAAAACGAAAAGTTAAAATGGTTTTTAATGGACTACTGTAGTCGTGCGTCATTCTGTAGTCCTCATTATGCCCATATTAGGAGCTCCGGGTCTGAGCTCCATTTCTCTATGGCCAGAATGAAGAGGGTTTTCAAAAAATCGCCTCTAGCGCCCCCTGTGTTAAATAAACACGTTCAGAACCCGATACGTTTTGTCCTGTGAACATTCTTCTCTTGAACATCACTGGATCCTCTGAATTATGAGGTCGTTAAAGAGCTGAAATATGAATATTGCTCCATGTGAGCTAAAGCTACTGCGCACTGAATTCACATCATTAGACTGTCAGCCTCCTTAAGCAGGTTTAGGCAGCGTACATTTCCATGTTCAGACTGAGGGCAGATGAAAAGGAGTCCGAACAAAATCAGCAGGTTTCCCTGCAGTTCTCTGTTCTTCACCTGATGCTCAGTGAAACCCGATAGATCTTTCCTTTTAGCTTGATTTGAAAAGCTCTATAAATGAACCTGAACTCAGCTTAATATCACTGCCCACCCTGATAAACTGATTTAGGCTCTCAGAATATCCTCATTATTATTTTAATGCTGGAAACATTTTCTGAGGACATTTTCTCAGGACATTCGCCAGGCGAAAAAGAAGCTGAGTTCAGCTTCATGGAGCTTCATAAGGTCTGATATGAGGAGGTTTCTCTATTTCCGCTGAACAGCTGAGTAACATTAAATCATTTTTGCCGTTTCACAGAACTAACAGGGTCAGTATTTTGTCTCGTTTGCTAATGTTTGTGATAGCTAGTCACAGCTGCTGCACTATTTAAGGTGGAACGGGGACATTCAAACAAGAAGCTGCGAAAAAAGAAGCTGAATTCAGCCTCGTAGTTTTCATACTGGTAGTATTTTTGATAAGGAGTTTTACACTATCAAAATATCCCACCCAGAGGTTTTATTTACGGGTATACCTGTAAATATGCGCTACGGTAGAACATTTCGATAAGGTAGCACAGCTGGTCAGAGCACCGCCACATCCCGTCTTAGTGTCGTGTAGCTTAGGCTACGTTTACACAGCAGGTAAAAGTGGCCCAAATCCGATCTTTTTCCTCATACGTGACACAGATGTGTCTGTGTGTCAGTGTGAACAGCAAAACACGCACTGAATCTGACATTTTCAATTCCGATTTGAGACGCTTTCATATGTGGTACTGAAATCCGATACGTATCCGATCTGCGGCAATGCGACTCGTCTGAACAGCCAGATCGGAATTCATGCGACTTTTACTTCAATCCATTTCGGCATTCGTCATAATTTCGCGCTGCTGAGACTCATAAACATTTAGTCTGATGTTTCTGTACTAAAACATTAGAAGAGACTCATCAGACCACTCCGTGCTCGAATAACGGGCCCTTTTTACGGCGAACTCGAACACATTCTGGGTGATGAGCCCAGCTGGAACCACTGAGACTTTATAATCGCTCCTGTGATGCTGGCGGAGACGAGACTGAAAGCTCCAGGAGCGACTGGCGTTCACTGGCTGTCGTGATTGTTTTCCTTTGGATGAGCCACGTGAAGCACTGTTCTTTTGCGCGTGTGGGTCAGTTTAGGAGCTGATCTGTCAGAGAACTTTTAGAGAGGAGAATGTCCACTCTGCAATGTCTTCCGGTTTTCTCAAACGCTAGAGGGCACTCCCGAGCCAGTCCAAAATGAATGGGGTTGATATGGAGCATTTGAGCAAAATCATAGTTTATAAATGATTAAACATTTTTAATGTAAAATAATACATTAATTTCCTGAACACAGAGCAGCATAAAACATTTTAACACTACTGTTATATTTTTCAGAGCTTTTAAACTCGAGTTATAGGAGATTAAAACAGCGCCTCATGTATATTAATGACGTCAGTGAGCGCGAACAGCCAATGAGCTGCTCCGCTCGCCAACCAATCATCACGCTCTAGCAGTAAAGCCCGCCTCCTGCTGCCCAAAACCCGTTTGCTGTAGAATAAAGGAAACATACAGGTGAGATTTCTTTGTTTATTTCGTGAAATCCATCCTTCTACTGTCTAAAACTAAAGGAAAGTTCTGGTTCAGTGATTAGAAACTATTTCAACTTTTCGTTTTTATCCGTTGAGCTCCATTCACTCCCATTCATTGAGGACTCACTCGCTGGCGCCCTCTGCTGTTCAGAAGTCCTGTTTCTGATATAAGGGGGGAAATAGGGAGTGGCCAGACTCCTCATAAACCGGCTCTGGATCTGTTCAGACTGATGTCGCATACAGATCGCATTTAAAAGATAATGTGAACAGCCAAACAAAAAAATCGGATTTGGTGAGAAAATCAGATTTGGGCCACTTTTACCTGCTGTGTAAACGTAGCCTTAGTGACATCAAATTGATGCGCAGTAGCTTTAGCTCGCATGTAGCAATATTAGTATTATAGCTCTTTAACAACCTCGTAATTCAGAGGATCCAGTGGTATGATATTCGGGTTCTGAACATTTTTATTTAACACAGGGGGCGATAGATAGACCCAGAGTTCCTAATATGGGCATAACGAGGACTACAGAACGACGCACGACCACAGTGGTCTATAACTGCCTGACGACGTTGCCAAGGTGGCCGCCGAGTGAGCAGACTTTGCTGTAAAGACTTTCTCTTGTCTTCATATATCTCTGCTATAACATATTAGAGATATAAAATGTGCCATAATTTTTGCACAGGCCAATTTTTTATGCTTTACTTTTTTCCTAATATGTCAAATTCAAAAAACAAACAGTAATTGTGTGTTGAAGTGGGCTGAAGTGTGTTCTCTGTACATGATGTATAACTTATTTACACTTAGCAAAATAAACAACACATCATTTGACTAGGGGCGCCCAAACTTATGCATATGACTGTACATGTAAAGGGGACAGAGACGAATGAGCCCTCACTACACTTTATCTGCCAGTACTGCTCTCTGTTTATGGATCACTGCCCCCTCTTGTGGCCTGAGATACGCATTACAGGCGTTTAGATGTGATGAGTTTCTCAAGTCCAAAACTGTCCAAAAGTCTCCAGACTCCAGCGTTTCTTATGAAATGAAGGTGTTAATAGTGAGTTTGTGCTGCAGTACCAGCCTCTACTCTTCTGGAAAGGCTTTACACTAGATGTTGGAACATTGCTGTGACGATTTGATTGATGTTGGATGGTCAGTTCTGGATCACTCCAACTCATCCCAAAAGTGTTGGATGGAGCTCAATCACTCCAGCAGGGGGCGCCACAGTTTATCATGCAGCTGCTTTGTGAATGCTGAGCCTTGTTTTGGAGAGGGACACATCACTGAGCATTCAGCCACGCTTTGACTGAAGCCGTCTTCATTTAACCACCCTATTATTTGTTTTATTATGATTTATTCACCAGAAGTCCTTACTGCCCTCTCGTATAATGACCCGCTCTATAATGTGTTTCACTATCAATGAAAGGTCTGCATGACCGTTCAAAAGTTTGGACTCACTAATAATGGTTGCAATATTATAAAACAGTATGGTGGCAGATAATGTATGAAATGATTCTAATTTCAACTTTTTTAAAATTATAATGAATACAGCTGTATATATATATATATATATATATATATATATATATATATTATATATGCACTGTGTCCACTCACTGTCCACTCTATTAGACACTCCTACCTTGTCAGTCCACCTTGTAGATGTAAAGTCAGAGACGATAGCTCATCTGCTGCTGCACAGTTTGTGTTGGTCATCCTCTAGTCCTTCATCAGTGGTCACAGGACGCTGCCCACAGGACGCTGTTGGCTGGATATTTTTGGTTGGTGGACTATTCTCAGTCCAGCAGCGACACTGAGGTGTTTAAAAACTCCAGCAGCACTGCTGTGTCTGATCCACTCGTACCAGCACAACACACACTAACACACCACCACCACGTCAGTGTTACTGCAGTGCTGAGATTGACCCACCACCCCAATAGGACCTGTTCTGTGAGGGTCCATGGGGGTCCTGACCACTGAAGAACAGGGTAAAAGGGGGCTAACAAAGTATCAGAGAAACAGATGGACTACAGTCTGTAACTGTAGAACTACAAAGTGCACCTATATAGTAAGTGGAGCTGATAAAATGGACAATGAGCGTAGAAACAAGGAGGTGGTCAAAATGTTATGCCTGATCGGTGTATATATATATATATATATATATATGTGTGTGTGTGTGTGTTTGTTAGAGCTGTAGATGTTTCTCAAATGGTGGTAATAAAATGTAATATCCATAATTCCTTGTATTGAGTTAATTCTCATGGTGGATAACTCGTGGTGGATAACTCGTGGCGATATGGTGAACAATATGGCAAAAATCTATGAGAAAACAGAACCAGTAGTGGTACATTTAAAAAAATGCTATCAAAAACTGTGAACACAGTCATTTTTATTCAATATTTGCCACTAAATCCAGTTAAACGGTGCCAACTTTGCAGTCTTTATAAAGAAACATGCAATGTTCTACACACTGGGTAGAACACTCTATAATATGGTTCTTTAAGGGTTCTTTAGTAAAGAAAATTGTTCTATATAGAACAAAGAACGCTTTGCATGATTAAAAGGTTCTTTGCATCTTGAAGTGGTTCTTCAGACTCATGGAGAATGTGCTGTAGATGGTTCTATATAGCACCTTTTTGTTCTAGTGTAACAAGCCTGACATCATAACAATAGAAGAACCCTTTTGGTGCTATATAGAACCCTAATCATGCGAAGGGTTATTTGAATGTTCATTTTCTTTACTAATGAACCCTTAAAGAACCCTTTAAGTGTGTACAGGTACTGATTATAGCCATGATATGTTCAGAAAAGCATAATGTATTGTACTAATCATTAATTACAGTTTATTTATCATTTAATAACATTTTGTAGTTCCCAAAATATTATAAAAACTATGTTTTGTTTTCTAGAGTATTTACATCTATACTGAAAAACATAAATGAATAATATTAAAATGTGATTCTAAACTTCTGAATGTTAGTGTTTATTGGTTTCCTGAAAAGCCAGTCGGCTTATTTCTGCCTCTTTTCATTATTACTACTATTTCATTATCATTTTCACCATCACTGAAAATACCTTCACACATCAGACTAGTTTATATGAGGTATTTGTGCTGCTTCAGCCGTATATCAGCAGCATATACACCAACACGAAGACATCAAGAACCAACAAGAAGGCTTTACTGTTGTAGTAAGTCTTTAATTAAGTAGGCAAAATAGTCAACTTATCACATCGTTTGTGCTTCTGTGTAACAATCTGACAGGCGAAGGATGCCGAACACTGCACAGCTTATCGTGTGGTACCATTTCAAACAGCTACAGTTCACATACATTATAAAAAATCACATCAGCTTTGACATTATACCCAATGCCCCTGTTGGTCTTAGCAGCTCCCATTAAAGGGCCCATACCCTTCACATATCAAGAACAGTCATAATTCATTTTTTCAACCTCTCTTTATCCCTTACACTGTTAGAAATAAAGGTTCTGTTCAGGAACATTTTCCATTCATCAAGGTACAAACAGTGTAAATGTTCCCTCAAAGCTCCAACAGTGGTTCTAAGGTCTGATTGTGAACCTTAAATAAGTTTTTCCACTCCATAAAAGTTCGTATTTGTACCTTTTCATAACCGAATGTTTTAAACAGAACAGTAAAATAAAAGCCTGGAGACGAGACGGGGTGTGTGGAGTCAGTACAGCTTAGAACATATCATTTCAGTGGATTATGGTTCAGTTGACAGTTTAGTACCTTTATTTCTAAGAGTGTAAAATTACTCAGGCTGTACCTTTAAGACTGATATATGTTAATGAGCTCTGTTCTGATAGGCTGGCCTGTACTGTATCACATTCTGAAAGCAATCTAGGTTAAAACCCTCCTTACAGCCTCAGCATGGATGATGGGGCTAAACAGCTGTAGGCTGAACAGGTGTATACATGCAAATGTGATGTTTTTTGTGACATCACAAAAGTAGAGAATTTAAAGGTTTAAAATGTTTTTGCAGCTTAGTTCCCATATATATAGACTGTATGTACTGGGAAGTAAATGGTACATTTAAAACCTTAAATTTTGAAAAGTCATGCAGTTTAAACTCTGTTTGAACTCTGTTCTCCACCAGAGGGCAGTCTAGAGCCTGCATCTGACGGCTTCTTATCTGTTTATTACAAAGAAGAGAGCATAGAAAGGTGACCACACACCTGCTGAGAAGCTCCATACTAGCTGCATCAGGTAGTACAAAGCATTTTTAAAAAAAATATATTATTATTGTTTCTTTTTTTAGAATAATGCCTTACATCCTATATTAAACTCTTATTTTAAAAACGTGAGGTAAAGTCAGTTTTTTAATGATATGGGCCCTTTAAGAGAGGCGTGACTCACACAGCGGGAGACCCCTCAGCCGGTCTTGTCTTTCTGAAGCCCTGTTCTTCTCTTCATGTTGGTGTACAGCAGAGCGAAGTTGATAATGTACGTTGAGACGCAAACCACGCAGAAATCACCAAGAACAAACGCCAGAATAGCAGCCAGATATACGGAGCCGGCTACTGACACCCAGGACATCATCACCAGGACCTGAGCTGCTGTACTGGACGCCATCTGACCTGCAAAAACACGAAACACCACCAAAGCACATTTTACTTCACTCAGAGGGGAACACTCGGGGCCTTCTATGACCTCAGAGAAGGTTTCTTTAGATCATTTTTATTTAATGGAATCTCCATGCTTGTTTTATTTAAAGGGGCCGGTTATGCACATTTTATTTTTGGGGTCTACTAAAATAGATTTACATGCTTCAGTTTTTTTCATTTTTCTTGTACTGTTCATCTCTATTCACTGAAGCACACTCCTGCGTCTTTAAGCCCCGCCTCCCAATGAGCCCAGTGTGCTCTGATTGGTCAGCCCATCAACTCTGTTCTGATTGGTCAACCTCAAGAGCAATCCGCCCCTGTCCTGCAGACAGACCCTTCTCTCCTGAGCAGCTGTAACTCCGCTGTGACAGTTTCTCCCGTGGCGTCGGTTCTGCCGGATTAGTTTGATCCAGAGTGGATCCTGAAAGTCCAGTCAGCGTCTCCACACAGATACAGCACTGAACACACTCTTCCTCCTCCAGTAGCCGCTGTGCACTGTGTGAGGGGGCCGAGCTCACCGGTAGGCAGGCAATAAGGACTGTGTTACGAGATGATGTCATCTTGTAACAAAGCAAAGGCAGGCAGCTGAGAAAAGTGGACTATGTGGGAGAGAGTTTCTCCCTCTGGAGGGAACGCTGAGCTTTGGGACTTTGCAGAACATTTACATGCAGAAAAAGACACAACACACTGAAGGGCAGAGACTAGAAAGGCATAATAGGCCCCCTTTAAACTGTGGAAGTATTGTAGGAATTCTCTTTTTCACTGTCATGTTTTGGTTGAAAAAAGTGTCAAAATCTTGAACCACCATACAGAAAACTATCCAATCAGGATTGTTTTCTCTGTAGTATTTAGGTAGATACAGCCAAGCTGCTCTCCCAATGGTTATGACTTCAGGAGCTGGACTGAAGGCCTAGTATAATTAGGAAGTGACAGAGGAATCAACCAATCATGCTTTGATTTACAATGGGTGAAAATTACAAACATGAGCAAGACCTGCATCTTTTAGTTCTCTCTTATACACTATGTGATATGGACAGTATTGATACTGTGGAAAATGAGTGTTGGTATCATTTGAGAATCAATATGTACTGAAAAAATCATTTTTGACAACACTAACTTGCACACAGGCTGATGAAACTGACTCAACACTCACCCAGGCCCAGCTGCAGGCTGTAGAAAACGATGCCCAGCAAACTGTTAGGCTGGTTAAGTGCACTGTCCTTGGCAACAACAAGCTGGACAAGTCCAAATCCACGTCCCCACCTGGCCAAAACCGTATAAAACATCACATATACTCGACATACTGTTTCTTCTTCACAGCAAAGAAGTGTTTGCTGTTCAAAAGGGAACAATTTGTTCATAATTTTTATCTGCACTGCACAGGGCTGGGCAATTAATCCTACTTTATTGTCAATTATGATTTTAGCTTCCAATAATTATGAAAACAAAATAATGGAGGTAAAATAATTATTGTTCTGTATTCCGCTTTGCAATGATGCTTTATTTTTTTCTTGTGTTATAAATCCAACACACCTCTTTCCTTTACAGCAATGTGTCACCCCTCCTAAAAAACCCAAACTCATCTAATTTATTTTGCTCTCATTTATTTATATTTATCACTTTCATGTATGTTAAGTGGGTGCAGTGTGTAGCGCTGTTGCCTCACAGTAAGAAGGACCTGGGTTCGATTCCCCGGCCGGGCAACCAGAGTCCATTTGTGTGGAGTTTGCATGTTCTCCCCGTGTCTGTGTGGGTTTCCTCATGCAGTCAGATGAGTTGGAGATGCTAAATTGCCCCTAGGTGTGTGTGTGCCTGCCCCGCGACCTGTCCAGTGTGTTTCCTGCCTTCTGCCTAATGAGCGCTCAGATAGGCTCCAGCGCCCCCTACAACCCAGATGATAAGCAGCTTAGATGGTGAGTGTATGTTTATTAGTTTTCAGTAAGTTGTGGGAATGCATTACAACATATTTGACTTTATTTTTATTTATTATTATTTATTATTGTTATTATTTTAAGTTCAATAAAAGCATAATGTTTCTAAGGTCAATAAGTAATCATGTTAAATAATCATGATCTCACTTTTGGCCAAAATAATTGTGATTATAAATTTCGACATAATCGAGCAGCCCGAGCACTGCATAAGACATTAGTATGCGTTATTTTATATACAATAACAACTTATACACTGTGGATTAAAATCTTGAATTATTATATAACAGCGGTCTCCAAACTTTTTGTCTTTTGGGGCCAAAGAAAAATATTTTCCGAAAAGACAAAAAAAATCTAATACTACACTATAATTATATATATATATATATATATATATATATATATATATATATATACACATATGTAAAAGTACAAGTAAGAATGTAATATAAAAATGTTCTCTCATTGAGTGAGGCAGTGGGGTTAGCTCTGTTTTACTCTATAAATTCTATAATTATCAATTTGTGATATTTTTGTCGTCATCTACCTCAATCAACACCTTTTAAAAACGAGACATTCTGAATATTTATTTTATTAGACTCATTTTCAGTCATTTTAAAACCATCTACAGCTCTGCTCATCTAACCTTTCTTTATTTGGTTAAAACTTCTCAGCTTAATATTAATTATCTGAAATCTGTGGTGCCCAGGACGAGCATACTGAGCTCATTTGGTACATTTATCTGAAACCAGTTTGTTTCTATCATTAAAAACACTTCTGTTTGTTTATATAAGGTGCGCTCAAGCATTATGGGAAATTACTGTGGTGAATTAATGGGCCTATTTAGACTGCACCGTTTCTGTTGGCTTATGACTGTCAGCTTAGAGCCCCCATAAAACCTGAGTCCACCCTGTAGTTATTTCTGAAAAGTCCAGCCTTTCGTTGTTACACGTGGCATCCAACTAGTGGGCTTTTGGATTGTTTTGACTGCTTTGCCTACAGCTTCTTGTTCGAATTCTCCGTTCCACCTTAAATAGCACTGCAGTTACATTCCAGCGCCTGTGGCGTTAGAACGCTGCTGCTGACCCATTTAAGGTGGACCGGAAAATTCAAATAAGAAGCTTCACAGCAGCGGAAAAAGGAGAAACATTGCTAAAAACACTTTGGACATCAGTGTCGATGCACAAAGGACGGGTTTACCTGGAGGTGAAGACTTTGGAGCAGCTCACCGACTCAGCCAGGTCACACATGGCTCGGTATTCGGGGTCGTTTTCCCGAGAAAGCTCAACGTGGAGCGCATAAACCGACAAAAACAAACCTAAAAAGCAAAGCAGAACACGAGCGAGCCCTTCCCACCTCGGCACTCCAGCAGGAGCTTTGCTCGGAGCCATACTGACCCAAAAATGACCGGAAAGTTCACTTATTTGTGCTGAAGAACCTCTACAATCAGAACCTTCAGGCTGTTTTACTCCTAAGCACAGCTGAGCTACGCTGAGGTGAATGAAAACCTCTGCAACGTGGAGGAGCGCAGAGAGGCGCTCTGATTGGACGGGCTGTGCCTGCTCTGATTGGACAGTGGGGACAGATGTGGCCAGCTGGGAAAAGCCACAAAGTAAGGACCGAGCAAATAACATTGAAATACCACTGCAAAATGGCAACACTAGGCGTTTTCTTTCTTTCTTTCTTTCTTTCTTTCTTATTTTTAATTTATGTATATTTTTGTTTATATTTGTATATATATATATATATATATATATATATATATATATATATATATATATATATATATTATTTATTCAAATATTACTTTTATTTTTATTTAACAGTTATTTGTAATATCGTAGTGCAACACCGTAGCAACCATCTAGCAACCGTTAAAGCTGCACAATACACTTTTCTCATTTATTTGTTTGTTTGTTATCACCAACTAGGAGTGGGAGAAAATTGATAAGTGCAATATCAACATATTTCAGGCTTTAAAAATAGTATCACTATACACGTATACATGTATCGATATTTTATTAGCATTTTCTTTTTCTTTTTTTCTTATTTTATTTTATTTATTTGGCCTTCTCAAAACTGCTGCCATACCATCTTGGAAACACATAAGTGTAAAATGTTCTTGTATGCTGTAGTTTTAACATCATCCTTCACTGGAACTGAGGGGCCCAAACCCTGATAAACAGCCCCAGCTCATCATCCCTCCTCCACCAAACTTTACTGTTGGCACTGTGCATTCCAGTAGGTAACGTTCTCCTGGCATCCACCAAACCCAGATTCATCCATCAGACTGTCAGATAGTGAAGCTGATTCATCACACCAGAGAACACGTTTCTACTGCTCCAGAGTCCAGTGGTGGCGCTTTACTCCACTCCAGCCGATGCTAGGCATTGGGCAAAGTGATTATAGGCTTGTGTGCAGCTGCTCAGCCATGGAAACCCATTTCATGAAGCTCCCAATGCACAGTTCTCGTGCTGATGTTGCTTCCAGAGGCTGTTTGGAGCTCAGCCTGAGTCAGTCCTGCTCTGTGAGTTTGACAGGTCTACCACAATGTGGCTGAGCTGTTTTTTGCTCCTAAGTGCTTCAATTTCACAACAATAGCACTTACAGTTGTCTGGGGCAGATCTAGCAGGGCAGAAATGTCACAATCCGACTTGTGGCAAAGGTGTCATCCTATGAAAGTGCCACGCTTAGAGTCACTGAGCTCTTCAGTATGACTCATCTCCTGTCAGTGTTTATATATGGAGATTTTATGGCTATTGATTTTATACACCTGTGTAGCTGAAACACCTGAACTCTATAATTAGGAGGGGTGTCCATATACTTTTGGTCATGTAGTGTACATTTTGGGTCAAACCCTTTATCGCAAAACTTTCATAAAACAGTGTCTCAGGCATCAGGCAGTGAATTCATAACCATTTTATGTAGTAACTTTCTGTGAGGGAGCTTTTAGAGGTGGACGTCTGGTTCCTATCACCACCACTGTGAACAGTTCTGACTCCGTAAGTTTCTCAAGAAAGGAGCGTTTCACACCAAACCACTCTGCATGGCTTTGTTTTCATCATAAACATTTAATTAGGCAGAAATTTTGGAAAATCGGTGGAGTTCCACTTTAACTGAGTTCTCCTGCTTTGTGCACACACAGACTATTGGACTCTGCTGCAGACCGAGGGGGAGGAGCCTCTGTCTGTCCTCACAGTGTACACATGTAAACACAGTTTAACGTTTACCAGGTGAACAAAGCGCTTTAAAAGCTCACGGCTTGTTCGTTTTGAGATAAAATCCGTTCAAATCCGTGTCAAACCGATAACCAGCCGGTAGGAGTAGTTCTGCTTTCTATTAAGATACTGTTAACGTTAGCTGAAGCTAATTTCTCACGACACCGCCCAAAGAATGGCCCTGTTCTACCGAGAAGGTCCCGCCCACTCAGCCAAGCGACAGACGCTATTGGCCACTCCTCGCGCAAAGCCGCATCCGATTGGCCGCTCACGCTGCCACTCATAGCCAACGCGAAAGAATACGAGGAAGTGGAGCAGGTTTACGGTTGCCTTAGTACGGATAGCTGACAGACATGGTTCTCCAGGAGCGTTCAGGATTATCGCGGCCCCGGTAGTTTTTCAGGTAAAAATAGTAGTCTGTTCTGGGTTTGGTTGTTATTTTAGTCTCGATGAAAAGGTAACAGGGGTTTACTTGTAACGAGGCTGAAGCTGGCTTTCTGTTCGCCAGCTTCTAGCTCGAATCCTCCCGTTCCACCTTAAATCGTGCAGCAGTTACATGCTGGTGCCTCTCTTATCTACAGCATCACATTATATTCCAGTTATTTCTGCACTCAGCTTCTTTAAAATATCAGATATGTTCTCAGACTGGTGCTCTATTCCAGCCTAGATAGTGACCTACGCCCAAATCTACGTCCAAAACTGTAAACAATAGAACCAGTTGTCTCAGTACAGTAGCTTACGGTGCAGTACACTCTTAAAAAGGTGGTTCTTCAAAGGTTCTTTAGTAGAGGATGTTCTGTATATAAGTATTACATACTTAAGTGGTTCTTTCCATAGTGGTTCTTCAGATTGATGGAGAATGTGTTATGTGTGGTTCTATAGAGAACCTTTTTGAAAATTGTGCTATATAGCACCAAAAATGGTTCTCCTATTGTAACAGGCTTGATATCGTAACAATAGAAGAACCCTTTTTGATTTTTCACAGAAACATATACAACAGATTTTCCATCAATCTGAGGCACTATTTCACTATGAAATGATTCTATATGGAACCCATGGTTCACAATGGAACCTTTGCCTTTAATAAAGAACCCTTAAAGAACCATAGTTTTCAAGAGTGTAGGCTGAGAGCAAATGTGGTGATACACTGGACAGCACCTGAATAGGCATTTTACACATCTAATATCTTGAATGGGCTGTTAGGTTTGGGGTTAGTGTTCTACTCTAGAGCAGATTTGGTTAAGTCACTCAAAGGAAAAGGGAAAATCCACCCATTTTTCAAAATTTCTGCATAATTGAGTGTTTGAGATGAGTAAGTCTGAGTGGTTTGGTGTGAAATGGTTCAGATGTCTTTACAGTGGTGGTGATAGGAACCAGGGGTCACCATGACTACAACACAAATATAGCCAGTTTACTTACTCTCCAGAACCACCAGTGAACCTACACGAGTCTTCTGAGTTTATATGGAATGTTGATGATGATTTGTCATACAGTACCCTCTTTTAAGCCAAAACCTTCTCAAAACTATCGTAAAACAATGTCAAGCTGTGTGTTCTTAACCATTTCATGTAATAACTTTCTGTCAGGGAGCTTTTAGAGGTGGACGTGTGGTTCCCATCATTACCACTATAAACAGTTCTGACTCGGTAAGGTTCTCTAGAACGGAGCGTTTCACACCGAACCACTCTGAATGACTTACATCACATCTTAACCATTTATTTAACGCAGATGTGTTGAAAAATTGGTGGAATTCCCCTTTAAGTGACTTTAGTGCTGGTTAATTATTACCAGGTGTTTAACACCTAATTTACTGGCCGAGGTGGTTACTGTATAACAGCCTGGCACCTGAGCTGTAACAGAAGTCTCACCCATTGTCTCCATACTGGATATGATGGCAAAGATAAACGGTGTCCACTGGTGTTACATTCTCTGTGTTCTGCCAGGTTTGATTCAGGATGTCGTCCAACGAGGTGGAGACCAAAAACAATGACTCAGTGTCAGTCTGTGACTCTGTAGACGCCAACAGCAAGAGAGAGAGCGACAGCGTCAAAAGCCGCCAAGGGTCTGTGGGAGAACTTCACACTCAGCCTGCTAGTGACGCATCTAGCAATGCAGACGCAAACACAGTGGCTGCTAAGAACCTGGCGCTGCTCAAAGCCCACTCCTTAGATGTGAAGTTTGAAGTTGGCGAGGAGTATGACATCATCGAAACCATCGGCACGGGCGCGTATGGTGTCGTCTCGTCCGCCAGGAGGCGGGACAATGGTAGGAACCCCTGTGCCAAGAATGCAGATGATGTTATAATAATGTTATACCTCAAACATAGCTGTTATACCGGCAAATCATAACTGAGTCATAACTTGGCCTGATGATATGCTGAGATCATCAGCAGCTTTGAGAAATGTTGAAATGAAATGAAGGCTACATAAAAAATTAGCCTTGGGCCGATAGTTGGTATTATTGAATGCTGGAAACTGAAAGCTGCTTTTGTTCAAATTAAAAGAAGTAGTGTTGCTGAGTCACTTTATTACTTGATTGTGTTTATTGTGTCCACCCTTTGCCTTTATTACAACATTCTTTTCTGGTGACTCACTTTCAGTTTGTCAAAGAAATCTGCAGACACATCTCCAAAGTTCAGTCTTAGAAGTTGGTTGCATTTTCTGCTTCTCACAATCCAAGTAATCATGTCATTCACCAAGTTTTGATGAGGTTCTCTTTAAATACTTTTTCAAAATAATCACAATCATCAGAAACATCCGCTCGGGAACAGGGCAGAGTCACAACCCACGTTACAAGATGTTCCTCCACATGTTCTGCAGTTACATGTTTCCACCAGAGAGGCCTTCAAATCCCCAAAACTTACATAGCATAGCTCGCATATTTTAAACATGCGAAATATCTAAAATTTTGACCTGAATTTTACAAATAATCTCAAACCTGAAAATATATATCATTATGGCCTAGTGCGCATACATACGGCATGTTTTCAGGTACTCTGTTTGTGCTGTATTGAAAAATGAGTTATAATATTGCAGGGGTGTCAAACTGACCCACTAAAAGGGTCATATTAAAATAAAAACTCAATAAGTCTGTGGGCCAGCTGTTTTATTTTATTTTTACTTACCATTTTGCCATGACCCCAACTGGCCATTGTTTGTTCAAAATATGCCAAAACTACACCTGCAAAAAATAGCCACTGAATAACGATTCAAAAATAATTTTAAAAGAACAAAGTGTTTTATTTAAAACAATACACTACATTAGCTGCAGATACTGTTAAACCTCTTTAAATGTCCCCACAGTAGTTTTT